GATATTGGAGGAGAAAGAGTAAGTCCAGCTTGAACTAGTCTGGAAGTGTGTCACACTTCCTATAGGAAGTATGACATACTTCCACATTTTCATCAAGATTATAGATCAAATAATCTAGCTATTTGAATAAATCTTCAGAGTGTAGCACTACTAAATGCTATAATTGTGTCATACTTAGAATAAACTAGAATTTATTTGTTTATAATTTTTAAAAAATAATATTTAATAACTTATACTTCATGAATAAAAGCAATATTATAGTGTGAAATATTGTTTATAATAGATGAACTTTTTAAATTTGTAGTACCGTATTTGTGTTTATTATTTTTCTGGAATTGAGTAATACTAAATCATATCTGTGATAAAATTATTCATTAAACTTCTATGATAGAAATATTTGTACAACATTTACAGTATTATTTTTAAAATTATTTTATAAAATAGTAATTTATAAATTACTGTAAAATTTTTCTGTAGGCATTGCATTAATATTTATATATACAATGAGGCTCAAAAGTCAGTCAGCTGAAATATATTTTTTTTAATTATTCTTAAAAAATATATCTTGGTAAATTGAGTTTTGAGCTACCTTTTATATTGTATAAATGTTGTATAATTATTTCTAAATAATTTAAAAAGCTTTTTTCACTCATACAATAATTTTTATTTTAACTTCATTATTGATTAATATTTTTATTATTATTTAATAATTTATTTATTTAAGAATTTTAATTTTTTGTCATACATCTCTTAAAATAAATTATTTCTTTATATGATTACATATAAATTTTCATGTAATTATTAATACATTGCATAAAAGAAAATTGATTTTTAAATAAAATAACAAATAAGTTTTGTTTGTGCATCAGATTTCGTTAGAGGAAACTTTAATAAATTAATTAAAATTGGCAATATTCTTGAATTAAAAATTCAATGTGAAGTCATGTAGAAGTCTGTGAAATAAAAATAAATATTTGAAAAGATATGCTTTTTAGTTTCAACTATTAATTTCATGCTTTGACAATGCTTATAAATAGAAGATGACAAATTCTTAAACTCCACTTACATAAAATTCAACGCAGTTTCTTGTCACAAAAATCAAAATAGGAAAGCATATTGCTTTGAAAAGTCTATTTTATATTTTTTAAAATGGTTTTCTTTTGCATAAACAATTCAAATTTTTTGAATTACATAAATATCAGAGTGACTCACCATATCCTGATGTATAAATATATAATAATATCATATAATATTGAAAAATCTTATTTTATATTTATTATTTTATTACTTAGTAATGAATCAGCCTACGATATATTTTTGCCTTACATCAATTGTAATTTTCTACATTAATATATAATTTATATGTTTAGATTTAAAATTCTTTAATAATGTTATATTAAATTATGCATTATACTTTTGAAATTTTAGTTTTACAGCAATGTTAGCTTACATAACATTACCAAAATTTCTGAATTTTTTTACTTTATTTTTACTAAAATTCATTTATTAAAACGTTTTTTAATACTGTTTGTTGATTTATTTTCTTTAACAAAATAAAAAATTTATTTAATTTTTTATGCTAAATGAAGAATAAATGTACTTTGAAAATATATTTATTCTGTTTCTTTTTACATTGTACATTATTTATTATATAATGTATAATGTACAAACACATACTGTATAATATAGAGTTGCATCATGCACATTTTAAATTATAAATTTTGTTGTAATTTTGAATAACTTTACAAATGTCAAATGTTATATATTTAAGATGTTTCTTGTTAATAACATAATACATATTAGAATACATTAATATATATTTATACAATAATTTTGTTATCATCATTTTATTTTTTTAACATATAAATATATGACGTAAATAAATTATTAAAAATTTCAAAATAAATTTAAAAATAAATATTATACTTCAGAATTTTGCACAGAATACAAATAATTAAGCTCACAAATGTTCAAACATGCTTAGATCTATTTGTAAAACTTAAAATTATATATACTGTAATTTTAAAATAAAATTACCATACCTTATAAAGTTTGTTGACATTTTTAATATTCTTGAATATTTTTGGAATTTTACAGTCATCATCTAGAGGTTTTAATATTTTAAAATACATGCTAAGAGAATATTATAAAGATTTAAATTTATGGATGACATCTCATAAAAATATTCATATTCTAATTAAATATATAAATTGACAAACTTAATGACCAAAACTAAAATATTAATTTATTCAATAGTTATCAAAGACAAAAAAATTGCAAATGATAAATTTGAATTGCTGATTCACATGCCAATATCAAAATTCTAGTCATATAATTTATACTCAAATATTTTTCTTATTTTATTAAATAAATTATTTTTTCTGAAGAAACAGTTCTGTTTTGAAAGATGCATGATAATTTCTATTCTAGACAGCATTAATGTTTGATTCTATAAATGCTGTGGCATTGAAATAAATAAAGATGAATATACTGTATATCCTCATTACATATAATTAGAAATTTATAAGTTTCTAACTTCAAACATAATTTTTAAGATTTTTAATTTAAAATAAAATTTTATGCATTTATTTACAGTTTTGGGTATATATACAGAAAGATCCAAAAATCTGTTAATCAAGATATATTTTTTGTTGTCAAGATAATTTTAAGAATGATTAAAATTGGTTTGGAACAGATGCATGTTATTAATTATAATTCAATTACTTCCAGTGAAACAACTAAATCACAACTAATGACACATATCTGTTCAAACCAGTTTTAATCATTTTGTAAAATTATCTTAACTATATCTTAGTTAACTGATTTTTGGATCACTCTTATAATTAATAAAATATGGTTTTTAACAACTTTGAGACATTAAAAATAAAAAAGTTAAGACAAATAATTAAACTGAATAAAATTTGTTAACAAGTACCTGTACTTTTAATAAACTGTCTTCTTTGTCTCAAATTCTTAATTTTGTCATGTCATTCATTAATTTAGAATTTTAAAGTGAAACCGATAAAAGAGCAGAATAACATGCCACAAAAATACATAGTATTTATTGAATGTGAACAAACTGGAAAAGAAAGTTTAAATCAACTTAACACCTTTTAAAATCCAACATAATAAAAACATACATTTTCAGTTTTATTCAATAGATAATAGACTGGCATTCAGGAGTTTGAGAAAAATTTTGGTACATCAGTCAGTCAAAATATGCTTTGTGTCAGTCTAAATTATTGTCCTAACTGAATTTTAGTAAATTTAAATCCTCCTGCCTTTCCATTGTCAAGCACATCCATGTTGCATGAAAGTCAAGCACATGCAACATGGCACATATTGGTCAGATTATCATTGACATGACAATGCCGGCAGCTGCATCTTTTGCATTTACAATTGATTTTTATATAATAATTAGAATCCTGTTGGTCACCAATCTCCCAGTAAAACATATATTCATTAAATGCATACATTGTTTCACATAATCTTCAATTAATTTTTGGTTCTAAACTGGTTTATAATAAATAATCAAAGTTCAGAATTGACTTAGCAAGCATTATTTACTATACAGTAGGGCTTGCTTTGTAATCAAAAGTTGTTTTTCTCCATCTTTAGTAGGAAGTAAATGTCATATCATAGCATGATTATAGTGTTGGGCTCTGACATGTGATGTAGCTATGTTTCACTTTTTCAATTTTATAAAATGTTATTATCTTATTTTATCTCTGAAGAAGAAATTTCTGGTCCAAAAGACTGTATTGGTACATAAATATATTTAATCAATTGATTTTTGATTATCAGAATGAATGAGAAAAAATTATTTGATTAATAATACAGTATTTCTATTAATGAGCTTTAAAATTAAAAATAAATAAATAAACATCCATATTCAAAATGGCTAAAACTCAAAAACATTGGCAAATTAGAAACAATTATTTAAATTTTTGCTGTTAACAAACATTCTTTGTAAAGTTTATCATCATCATATAATAATCTTTGTAGCTGCATATTCTTGCAAATTAATCAAACTAGTATCTTTACCATTCAAATTAATTTGACTTCATATAATTGAAAATATTGTAACTATGCAAAAATTGAATTTTTAATATGAATATTTAGCAAATCTTACTTAAAATTATTCCTTTTTAATGTAAAACAATTAAAAATTAGTCAAACAAAAACAAATCATATGCAGAAAAAATAGAAGGTAATCTACATAATTCTGATTTATATACTATAGTTCTGATGCATAATATCAGTTAACTTTTATGTTTAAGTTACAACATTGATTATTACTAAAACTTATTCAATTGTCAAAGACTTCCTGTTTTTTGGCAATATTAAGTATGCTTACTGTAATTCTCAAATATTTTTAAACCTTTTGCTCCTTTATCATTAGAAACGAAGGCATTCAATATAAGAAATTGTTTACTTCAGATGAAAACATTTGATAAAAAAGAAATTTTTTTTTTTCTTTGAAAAACAGACAATGATCTATCCAGTGTTTACAAAGACTTCTATAATTTCTATCCCCGATGAAAAGCCTGAAAGTACATGGAAATTAAAGTAAACATCCTCAAGTCTGCAATAAGCCAGGAAATAGGAAAACATTGATTATATTTTACCAGATTGAATGGAGTTTTAAAGATACCTCTTTTATCAAATAACATGTTAAAACAAATATTTTCAAAACTTTATTTTGTGACAAAATTATTAAATTTCAGTTAGCAGTCAATCATATTTCAAATCAGTCATTCTTGTCATTATCACCATCACCACTTCCCTCATATTACAGATGTCATGTAACAAAATTTCTGAATCAGTTGTATGATCAATTATTAAATCATCATTCTATGTACAGTATGCTTGAATAACAAAATTTCTAGAAATTTATTAGAAACGTTTTTAATAATTTTACGTTATAAAATAGATCTTTATTTAAAATTCATATATTTTCAAAATTTATAATTTTTTCCAAATTTTTTAATTTTATTCAGTGGATAAAATGGGAGATCAACCGACTGTTTGTGCTACGTCTTAGTATTATTATCATCACTATTTTCTCAGTTTATGCTGTTGTACAAATTAATATGGTAAATATTAATTAAATTAATGTTATGAGAAATTTGTATTTTAGATGATTATATCATTTAGAAGTAATTTTTATTCATATTTTACTTTTATTTATAATTTATTTTTCAGTTTTCTTGTATCAATGAAGCAATCCTGTGTACAAATTCTACTGATTTAGTACAAGAGTCAATTCTAAGTGAATACAAAATTTGTCCACTGCCCAATTATATAGTTTTGACCTGCGTGATAACATTTTTTCCTTTAGTTGTATTCCTAAGGATGCCTAATTTAGTTAAAGCCACATTACTCTTGCCAATGACGGCTATCTTTCTGTTGATGATAGAAATGACTCATACAGAACTGTTTCGTTGTTATGATCAGAGGATAGAGTAAGTAAAATGTGTATATTTATTTTAATATACAATATGAATCTAATCATTTTCTTTTAAAACAGATCAAAAACACCTCATCATATTATAGGTGTAATTGTTATTTTGCATTTTATGCTTGCGGTTTTAATTCATGGAAGACAAGTTGAATGGACAGCAAGATTGGATTTTTTATGGAATGTTCAGGTTAATATTAATTATGTTTTGTATTGTTTGTATTAACTTTTCTATATTATCCTAATACAACTCAAGAAAAAATTGCTTTAATTGGCTAAATAATGAAAAAAAATTGTTCTTAAAGACACTTCCATTAAATGAAATTCCATGTTTAAAAATTATAAAACAAAATCCATATCTAAAGCAAAATTTGTCACATTTTGACAAAATTGAATATTTTTATTGTAGTAGTACTGTATTAAATAGGTATCTACTCTTTCCATACCTATTTAATACAGTAATACTATGATAAAAATATTTACTTAGCCACCCATAAAAAACTAACTTTTTTTATGATTTTTAGAAATAGTTTAATAATTAAACTTTGTGATTAGATTGTCAAAATGTCTTAAGTTAAGTTATATAATGTAAAATAATTTCATTAAATATCAAAACATTACAAATCTGTTTACTTTTAATTTAATAAGCTATAAATTTAATGTTATAAGCATTAAATAGAATTTTTTCATAAGGTGGTGCTAATTACAAAAAACAAATATAAAATTCTTATAACAATTTCTTACTGCATTGATTTAGATCAAAAGCTAGAAAAAATGAAAAAAATACAGATAAAAAGTACAGCAGATAGCCAATAGTTTATCTATTGCTTATGTAATGAATTACATAATTTGTAATTTTTTCAGATCTTCTTAAGTCTGGATAAAAAAGACAATATAACTTTATGAATTAAGCAATAATGATAATTTATTATCAAGAAAGCTATCACTTACTTTTCCATTCTACTGTTGTCACAGTCTTTTCAGCCTAGATCTAAAAAATTAGTGTTGACAATTCTTCAATAATGAATTAAGTGTCTACTATGCATTTTTTAAATAAAAAATTATAAATTAAATATTTCCTGATAATACTGATAATTAATGTAAACTAGTTTTTCATCTGTTTTAAAGAACAGTAATTTGTATAAATTAATGTCAAATAATTTTAAAATATGAAGAAAAATAACTTAAATAAATCAAAAGAAAACAAAAAACATAATTGAAAGGAACGTATTACGTATTTAAACACAGTATTTGAATGTATTTATGTATGTGGAATGCTCTGAGTATTCTGTATTCTAAGATTTTTTTTGAGAGAGAGTTGTTGATGGTTAAAATCATTTCTCTCAATTATATTCTTGGTTTCCTTAATTAGCTGGTTTTTTTAGTTTTTCTTTAATTTATTTGAATTTCCAATATCAAGTTATATGGATTTTTTGAAAAATAACTTATTTACTTAATGTGTTTTCTGAAACCGTGTTTTACTATTTATTGAGTGAATTTGGATGGAAAAAAACCAAGTGTTTAATTAATAACACAATCTTGTGTTCAGCACTCAATTATTTATTTAATGTAAGAAGAATTTGTGAAACCTATTTATAGTATATTTCCTGTTAATTTAAAATAAAGAAATGTATGAGACTACTTTTTATTGTTTAGATTAGAGATGAAGAACCTTTTTAATCAAAGGTTATATCCCAATTTAGAAGGATGTCATAAGCTGTACATCATATTGCATGTTGCACAAGTCTGTACATTTAGAATGCATGCACAAAATATGTACACCTATTATATTTATATAGATAATTTTTTGCATTAAAGAATAGAAAAAATATTTCATTATTCAAAATTCAAGACAATAAAAGTAAACTTATATCTAAATATATATAAATGAGGACGTTTGTTTGTTTGCTATACACTCCTAGGCCATTTGACCAATTATTACAAAACTTGACAGTTACGTTTACATACTTCTAACTTAGATAATGCTGTATATCCCACCCAAAAATATGTATTGAATTTTAGTTAGATGTATTGAAGTTTGTATTTTTGAATTTTTTAGATGTATTGATTTACAGAAATTCAAATGTATTGAATTTCTGTAAATCAATTAATTTCTATCTAAATTTAATTTGTTGATTTACACATAGTGCCATTTATTGGCAAAAAATTTAAAAAATAATAAACTAAATATAATTCTTATGAAAAAAGAATATAATTTTAAATATATAACATATATATACTATATTCACTTAATTACTGTGACATTGATATAGCACAAAATAGACGTGCTATATCATTACTGAGACAAGTAGCATATAGCACTTGTCTGCATGGAATCGAAAGTGTTACCCTGTTAAAATTTTTAAAAATTTTTAATTTTCCACTTCTAACAACTTGGGTTTTTTTTCATTTCTGAACAGTACTTTCTTATTTCTAATAAGTGCCCTCCAGTGGCCAAATGGATAAAACTACCAAACTCTGGTAGTTAGTTAGTCATGGATTCAGGCATGGCCAATGGCGGGCCACATGGAGTTTCTGGCATTAGTAACATCTAAATAGAGTCTAGCTTCCCGTAAAAGTTTTCCTGGGATGCATCCCCTCAGCAGATCACTGACATGTCGCGTTGCCATAACCTAATAAACCAAACTAATTCTAACAAGTGATTACTTATTGTGACATCATTACAATACTGGGCTGAAACTTTTCATCACAATATTCTCAATTGTTTTAGTGGTGGTCTTACCCCTGTAAATTATACTTCTCCTGTTAGCAATAGAGTAGTGTCAGTCATCTATCTAACTCCATTAAAGGGAAAATTTTGAATCTAAGTAATGTGACTTCCATTCCAAACTGGAAGTTCATATATAGTTAACCTGGGCCTCCTGCACCTAATTAAGCTTTCCACATCTGGTCTCAACTTTCATCTATCTAATCTCCTTTCTCAAGATTAAGGAAGGACAGACAGTCAGAGGGAGGACAGTGGAAATTTATAGGTCTACAGTTTTTTCAAATTGCAGCCCAATAATTTTTCTATAAACACAATATTTACAAAAACACACTTCCTGCATAGTTTACACAATCTGTTGCCAAAATTTTAAAAAATTTATTATCACATAAAAGCAATTATTCTAGCATTTTTACTAGATATTTTTTATACAAAACACTGCTCATAAAACCTTTAACCGGTGCAAAGCACAATCTATCAGTCAATACAAATGCTTTCAGACTCCTCCTGGATCCTTCAGTCAAAGAATTGTTTGGAACGATTTTTTAAAACTGCAATCCAGTCGCTTTAAAAAATCATTCCAAACAATGCTTTGCCTGAAGAAGGACCCAGGAGGAGTCTGAAAGCATTTGTATTGACTGATAGATTGTGCTTTGCACCGGTTAAAGGTTTTATAAGCAGTGTGTTGTATAATATACTCTGGTGTGTGGTGATTCATTATTATTAATAGATATTTAAACCAGTCATATGAAGTCTTTTGGATATAAAGGTTAGCAACTTTGATCATGTGTGGAACCATCACAACCTGTCTAACATGGATCACTTTTCAAATATTAATAGTAAAGCAGTATTAATTAGTAGTCATTGACCATCCTCTCTTCTGGGAGGAAGTCAACATCTACTTTTGGTCAAATTATTTCAATCCCTTTCTGCAATAGTCGCTTCTTTCTACAGGACCAGTGGTATGGTGGCATTTAAATAGGAAAATTACATAATTCAAGATTACCAGCGAGCACAAAATATGTTTTAAGTGATTTTTGAGGGTGATGAGTTTAAATATTTGGTTTGTTTTTTGGGAAATTTGATTGGTTGGCAGATTACCATTTGATATTTGGCTGTGAATGGTACAGTTTCTTAGAATTTACATTAGAAAAGAATTTATCTTAAATTTTTTAAGATATATTTTCAATTGGTGTCTACTTGACCAATGAAATGAAGTGCCATTTCATAGCATCCAAGTATTGTGATAAACATGACAATGGTAGGCTAAAATAACCAAAAGTTTTTATTTTGTTTTTGTTTTAATATTTGTTATATTATAGTATTTGATTTATATAACTACAAAAGTTATCTTCTGTAAGGGTTTAGCGAGTTACACTGAGTGATCAATTTGTAGTACCGTAGCGTACCGAAATACGTTAGCGTGGAGATTAAGAATAGGAAAGAAAGCACAAATTAACAAGACACTGAACATATTTAATTTCACAAAGATACACATCTGAGGTTCACACACGATTTTTGTTTCGTGATGGGGCTCTCGTCACCCCTTTTGTCTGGACACAAGAATACGACAGAGTGATCCAATATAAAATCCCCGACGCGACAATTAGACTTAGTTTTTTAATAACTCGATAATCGGACTATTCTTACGTGGAAGCTGATCTTGATACCCGCTGAATGTCTCTCTTTTAGTACGCAATTGTCCTCCTTTCACGTGGTTCTTTCTTCTTTGTTCTTCACCTTCCTTCCTCTGCCAACCCAACACGAACCCAGGTGAACCAAAGAAAAGTCCTCTATGCACGTGGTCTTTCCTTTTTATAACCCGCGCCATGTTTTGACGAGGGAACATACGTCATGGCAGGGGAGCCAATCACAGGCTCGCACTACCACACCTCAAGAAGTGGTACGAACCTTACAGAAACAGTCTACAATTACCAATGCGTGACAAAATACAGTATATAGATACATATATATTTAATGATGACATACAAACATTTAGTGAAAAACACTACAAATTTAATGCATTTTAAAGTTTCTTTATTCCTTTGCTATACACAATTTAAAGAATTTTTAAAATGTGTTAGATTGATCACTCGGTGTGATAAACCCTTACATAATATTATACATACATATTATATTATAGTATTTGATTTATATTTACGAAGGTTATCTATTACCTTTGTAAACATTAATATTATATTAAATATAAATCAAATACTATAATATAATATAATAGAAAAGTTATAAGTATGAAATAATCTAATAATATTAATGTTTGTTCTTATCCTTTGCCCAAACAATGCTGGGCTTACCTACTAGTTATTTTATTTTATTAGACCACACTAGAAACTAGTAAAAGTCTCCAATCCCCTATTTTTGATCTACATATTTACACAAAAAGAATGTCAGTTAAACAGTAAGAATATAATAAAAAATAAATATAATATACAGTTTAATATCTTACACTATCTTACTTGTATCAGTTCTGTCAGAGGTTACAAGAATAAATGCTTGACTTCAGAATTGATTAGATTTATCTGATAGAGATATGAGCATCATCATCAGATATAGGATTAGATTTTATGTTGTTGATAAGTGATTTTATCTGTTTAAAATTAAAATTAACATCATGCCAGTTGATTAAAATGAATATCCAAGTGTTTAATAATTATTTGAGAATAACATAGATATTCAGATATAAAGAATTTTACAAAAATATTTAAAATCAATAGAGAGAAATTTTGATCTTGAAAAAATGAAAATGCTGAGAATATTTATTTAAACTTTAGTATAAAATTATAGATTATTTTGTAGTTTTACAAATATTAAAATAAATTTTAAGAACTAATATTGAATTAGAAAAACAAGATTTTAGTGAAACAACCTTTTGTAAGCCACATATAAAAAGTCCATTGAATATTAACCCTAAATCACAAAGCATAAATCAATAGTATTGGAACACAAAGTTTTGTAAATTTTACACTTGTTTATATTACTAATTTATTTTCAGCAATTAACACATTGATTTGCATAATGTTCCTTGTTTTATATGTGGTTGCGCTAGCTGCAATATGTAGTAGTAAAATAGTTCAGTTTTTTCAAATGGTAGATGTGACAAATTGTTGTTTTGTTTCCAGATGTTGGATTCTCTCTGTGAATGGCAAGATTTTTTTGTAAAAAATTTTCTAAGAAAAGGTGAAAGTGTGGCTGCAATATGTGATTGTAACCTCTTCTTCATCCATGGTTTGGTTAGCTCTTTATTTACATGGATGAAGAAATCATCTCTCTTCATTTTCTTTGCATGTCTAACAGGCGACTGAATAAAATGAATATTTCTGCTTGGAATGTGGCAAGATGATTGACTAACAGGTTGCACAGAGCAGCAATAATTATTTTTTTCTCTAATAATTATTTTTGGAGGAATAAGTATATATGCATTTTCTGAAGCAGAGGATAAAACTAAACAATAAAAAACAAATCTACATCAAATTATACCATATAAAGACAAAATTCACATACAAACAAAATATAAACATCACTATCCTTATTCAAGGCACCACACATAGTCACAAAGCTTCATAAAATTGTTGAATAGATACTTTGCTTGAATATGAAAATTTTAAAATTAAATTAATAGATTTTATAAAAATTTTGATTAACTTTATGTATTCTCACAAATATACTTTTAATTTTATATAGTGTTATTTGAAAAACATAATAAGAATTTTAAAACTTAATAATAAAAAGAGGTTTAAATATATTTAATAGTTTAATTATGCAATATTTTATTTGTATCTTTATTAGGCTTTGGAAGAGAAACATGAAATGCATGAATTACAGAATAGTAACCGAAGAATTTTATTTAATTTACTTCCAGCTCATGTTGCTGCACATTTCCTAGATCATCAATTTCTTAGTAATATGGTAAGTTCACTAGAAATATGTGCGATACAGGATAATACAAAAATGAATTAACCAAGATACAAGTACCCTATATTTTAAAATCAGATAAAATAGTTTTCAAGTAGTTGTGTGTTGTTATTCAATGATTCAGTTACTTCCAATGAAATGATTGAATCATATATAATAATATACAATAAAAATAGAATTTTATTGTATATAATAATATACAATAAAATTCTAAACATATTTTAATCATTCTTAAAATATATTTCAGTTAACTAACTTTTGGTCATGTAAATATGATATTAATTAAAAGTCTTACATTACTTTTATACATTATAAAAGATTCATATATCAAAATTCTACTATTTATTTAGATTATAAATGTAAGAAATAACCTGATTTTAAACTAATTAAACTATATTTTTAATGACAAATAAACATTTCAAAATTATCTGCTGTAGAGTTTCAATTAACTAAGACTTGTCTAACTGAGGTTCAACATTACTTGAGACATATTATGAGCAGGAAGAGAGAGATATTTTGTCAACAAAAATAAGAAAACGTAGTGCAGTATACTTCATTAAACAAATCTTGGCTGGATGTTGTGCAATACTCAAAATAGGCTTTAGAACTTTTAAAGAATTTTTACTCTGGTTACTCGTTACCAAAGTATGAATTTTAAAATAGATTAAAGAAATATCACTGTAGATACAGTTAATAAAATTTAAAATATTTTATTGTATAATTAAAGTCATTAATCTATTCTAAAATAGAATACATGTACAAGGTAATGAATTCAAATTTCATTTAATAATTTATCAAAAATTTTGTGTTATGCAATCTCCTGTCCACACTACATTGGATAATCAGGACTTTACTGTAATTCCAGTATCTTCGTTACAAACAGGTCCTGCTAACTATTTGGAAAGCTTGTGTAAAATAAACAAAATTGGATCTGTAGTGAATCTTCTGTTATAATTTAAATTATAATTTGTTTTATATTATTATTACAAAAAATAAATAAATAATGTTGAAAATATTTAAAAATTAACCATTATATAAAATTTACTTATAAAAAATAAGTAATTCTTATAATTTGTTACATTTTAATAAGATTTTTTAACATTGATCAGTTTTTATGTATTTTCAAACTATTATTGTTATCAAAAATATATCTAATAATCCAAACTATAATGGTGATTTGTCATGTATTACATATTTCCTTAAGATTAAAGAATGTTCTTTATCGACAAAATATTATCTATTTCCAAAAATAACAAACTTTCAGAATTTATTTTACTGCAGTAATTTTAGTTTATAGTTTATGAATCTTATGTTCATCTTATTTTTTACTTTTAACACTTTAAATTAAATAAGATTAAATTTTTGACATCCCCCAGTAGATATACTAATGATTCATATTCTTACAAGCTTCAACCTAACTTTTATTTTTATAAAATTAATTAATATATGTGTGTGTCAGAGGCAATATTCTCATAAAGTTATATGACAACAATTCAGTGTATTATCTATTTACTATTTATTACTAAAATGTAAATTTACAAAAAGTGTTTTTATAAATATTTCTTGTGCAGTTTTTGCTTAGTTGAAATCCAATTTAATTTTTTCTGGTACCTTTTCTCCAGGTTGCGTGCAAGAATTTAATGGAAACAGCCTTCTGTTTGTGCGGTCAGGTTCTGTTCGAATATTTGATTCTCCACTTTAATCAATTTATCCAGGTTAGAGAAATCCTGTTCGAGAAATTTGAATGAAGTCAATCAGCTGTGTGAATTTGATATATACAAAGCTTAAAGTCAAACATCATTGTTCTAACGGTCCAATTTGGAAGTCGGTTTAGTTCATTACCTGAAGTAGGCCTCAGTGAAGGCCAAAAACATTTGGAAGTTACGTTAAAGTTCAATTACTGGTTAAAAAAGGTTTTGTTTGTGATTGTTTATTTCTCACTCCAGTATTTTTGAGAAGAAGACTATTATTATATATGCAAGCTAGGCCAGCTAAACTTTACAAAAAGCTAGTGCTAGCCCTAACAAGGACTATAGCTAAACTTAAATTCCTTTTGGAATGCCAGAAGAATGATGTATTTCCTATGTCTATTCATCAGATACACCTCCCCAAGAGTTGTGAATTAATTTTACCGAGGATCAGGGTTTTATGTTTAAGAAAGGCCATTAGATCATTGAGAAAAATCATCTATTCTAACCTTGATAAATCAATTAAAGTGGAGAATCAAATATTCGAACAGAATCCGACTTCATTTGAGGAGGCGAACAGAAGGATTGCCTGTTTCCATGAAATTCTTGCATGCAACTTGGAGAAAAGGTACCGGAAAAAATTAAATTAGATTTCTACTAAGCAAAAACCACACAAGAAAATATTGCCTGCCACACCGTTAATTATAAATATTTTACATTTTTGAAGATTAATTTTATTCTTTTCTTGAATTTCTTTACAGTAATTAATAATTTTTGAAAAGTTCATTTCTAGACATTCTGTTAATCAATTTTCTATAAATAAAATATTAAATTTTCATTTCTTTAAAAAAATATCTAAAAACTCTAACATGTAAAAAGTCTTAAAAATGTTTTTTTTTTTAATTAAAATTTAAAAAATTTATAAGACAAACCAGAAAAATAAATTTAACACCAGGAACCCATTAGGAAACTTCATCAAAGTCAAAACTTTCTTCAAAGCTACTTGGCTATTTCTGAAAATGTCTCAGTGTTCAAATAAATCCTTAATACATTCCAAAATGCTTCTTTGAAATAAAAATTTAGAAGCATTTGTATTTATTACTTTTTTCATTTTTGACACTTTCTGTTTTGTAGATACTAATGGGGCCTTTTTTCCATGCATGTCATGGATTAATTTGGACAGACCCATAATGGGGAATTAAGTTATGAGGGGATAGGACCTGACAAGTCACCCACAAAAAATTCCTGCAGTTGGTAATCTGGATTGGATCCTGGGTCCCTCACAGCAGTAGAATGATGCCTTAACCATTTAAGCTATCTAGGCATCAATATTAATTATTTAAGAGATAAAAGTTTTAAGTAAACAAGGATATTTAAATAAAAGAGAGATTTAAGGTCTAAAACAACAGTGCCGGCCCAAGGCAAGTTTTAGGATGGAGCAAGATCCCATTATGGTGCCCCCTTAGTTGCCCCTAATTTATACCTTTTAATTTTCTCTACCACTGAGGTGCCCCCTAGGACTTAGCGCCTGGAGCGGCTGCTCTGTTCGCCCTATGGTAGGGCCGGCTCTGTAAAGCAAGTCCCTCAAAAGTATTAAGAGCCAAGGTCAAGATAGCCAATGGGATCCCTTTGCCTGTTTGAGTCAAGAATAATAAAAAAATGCATTAATACATTGACTGCCAATTATGAGTTAAATATGTATACAGATTATTCAATGAAACTTGTGTAGTTATTTTTTTGGAAGCCACATTCAACAAGAAGTAGCCTTTCATATAGCAATGTGCATTTTGGGCATCTTTTGCTCCTCTTCAGTCCAATTTCTTAAGTCCATTTAATATTTAATATAGAATTTTATAACATTCAAATTCTTTTCATACATTATAGTTTACAGTATTATTATTTCTGTCTTTTTCTTTTTTGTTTTTTTACTAAGACATTTAAACCAAAACAGTTTAAAAAGTTTATATATATAAATTTATTTTTAATTAACAATTGCACTATGCTACCATTAAATCTTTTTTCCTCTTGCAGTGGAAATGTAGTTACAAACACATATTCTTACATAGGTGCAATGAACATAGTTTTAAGAAATAATTTTATTTCCTGTTACTTTTGAGGATGATATTTTTTTATAAATGCACATACATAAATCTAGCTAACAAATTCCATTACAAGTAAGTTGTCCAAAGGAAAGTTAATCATCTACATTACATCTCTTTTTATCATTTTTTAAAATGTAATTAAAATTTAATTTTATAAAAATGTATTTGTATTGATGCATTTTTATAAAATATATGTTTTATTTTAAAAATAAAAATATTAATGCAAACATTTTAAAAATCTGTTTAATGTGTATTGCAAAAGAAAAAAGTACATGTGAGATTTGCTGTTATCAACATAGGATGTAAGAGAACTGATAAAAGAATCAACATAAACATATTAACTTAGTGGTAGTATATTATTTTTTCAGCAATGGAAAATGATTAAGGCCTTTTACTCATGCAGGGCAGAACTTCTTAGTAGATGCAAGCATGCAGCATGTCTTACTTTTTTATTAGTGAAGAAGAAAAAATAGAATCAAGAACAAGTTTACCACACGCTTGGAATAAACCAGCAACTTTAAAAAAGGAATACAATCAAGCAAAACACCTTATCCATATTTTTGATACAAGAAAAAGATGTAGGAAAACAAACACATATTCCCAACTGATACAAATATAGTATACTGATAGAAAACTCTTTAGATATTATCTGCTCAATGAAGAGTGCATTGCCCAGAAATGCCATGGCTATTTGTTCTCCAAATGTCATTATCAGAGACAGTGACAGACATTATTGTTTATTGGAAATAAAATGTCCATTAAAACTTAGGAATGCTTTTATAATTAATAAAGATGAACAAATAAAACTAAAGCCTTCATAATTACAGTACATAATTACTTATAATAATATAAAATTTAGATTAAAGAAACATTTTAAAATATATTTTTTAGTTTGTTCTCCAAGCTATTTAAGCTGGAGAACAAACTAATTTTGTTTAAGCTGTTAACTCTAGAATATATCATTATAATGAATTATATTTAAAAAAAATTTATTTACAGTAATATCCAGGATTGATTTTTTTTAACCATTTTAAATAGGAACTTTATTATCAATCCTATTCAAAAGTTGGAGTTATGTTTGCATCTATACCAAATTTTCATGAATTTTATATGGAATTAGACGGAAATAATCAAGGAGTAGAATGTCTTCGGCTCCTTAATGAGATTATAGCAGACTTTGACGAGGTAATAAATATTTTTAATGACTAATAAAATGGTGTAGTTGTAACAATAAAAATATGCAATTTAAATATTGTAATATTAAATAATTTAATTACTATAAATAAATATTCTTAATATATAATTACTTTTCTCTATTATTCAACAATTAGACATTAAAATTCATTTTTAAAATAAAACTTTAATTTTTATACATATTTAAAATATTTATAAAGTTTAACTATTCTGAATAATTAATTAATTAAAAAATAATTTTATAATTTTTCTTATTCTGTAAGTTATTGTTATGAGATTTTTCATTTATTATTGTAACTATATTTTAAAATTGTTAAAATTGAAACTTTATTAACAATTACATAACATTAACGGTTTTGTAATATATTTAGCTTTTAGATGATAAAAGATTTCATGGAGTTGATAAAATAAAGACAGTTGGTAGTACTTATATGGCAGCAATGGGTTTAATGCCTGATGTAAGAATACCGGTAAGACAATATTATTTTTCTATCTTCTGCAATAATATATTTATAAAATATTCTTACATTTGCTAGCAATTTGCATATTTAATACTATTTTCAGATATATAAATAAATATATATGTTTTTTCTTGCATAAAGAAAGTATACATGTACTTTTTATACTTAATATAAGGAAGAAGTTTCTTATGTGTGACATAAGAAACAGCATAGGCACATAATGTTCCTGAAAGTAGTGTTTATTTATCTTCAACAGCATGAAGTAGTGACCTTATATCATATTTTAGAATGACATCAAACTCATTTGAAGAAGCCAAGAGAGTTTCTTGAAGTATAGGTTTGATGATGATCTAAAAAGTGTTTATATATGCTTCCTAGAACATAACATAAATAACAGAAATATTGTTGAACCCATTTATACATTTGTCAGTTGTACATTTTTCACAATTATACATTAAATATTTTCTGCATCAAACTTTCATTATAAAACACTTCAGTTATACATTTTTCATTTATATAATTTTGTACTTATATGTCACATTTTTTGGTATCCCACTGCACTTTTCCTCACTTATGCATTATTTACTTTCAAATGGAAAAATTTTAAATGCTTATTAAAAAAAATGAAAAAGTGAATTATGCTATAGAAAACACTTAGTTCACACTGACAGAAAGTTGCTAGCAAATGTAAGAAGTAGAGCAAATAATACACAACATATGACACCATTTCTGCCAAATTTTTTCCTTTAGTAAATCACTCTACCAATACAACACATTGAAAATTTTCACTTTTCATATTTTGTAGTGTGAACCACTTTCATTAAGTAAATAAAAATTTTTTTCTGGTTTCACATTCCTTTTCACTATTATATTTATTTAGTTTAGTTAAAACATTGCTTTTATAATTTAAAACTGTTTCATTACATATTTTAATTCACTTTAAATTACAATTTATTATATTCAAAACTATGATGAATGATTTAACAAATTTATAATATTACAAAAGTAAATTTAAAATTTATAAATGAAAGGAAATATCAGAAAACTGCTGGATGATGGCTTTTTACTTTTTGCCTTTGTTTCAAAATAATTATTACAAAAACTCAAGAAAAATAAAATTTGTTTGGGAAGATGATGCAAAACTATTATTTTCTTTTAAAAATATTACAATTCATCAAAATTAATTTATACAAAACTTTTTATTGATGATTCATTCAATAATAAATGAATAGATTTGAAAGAATTACTTATTATATTGTAATTTATTTCTTAAGAAATAAAAAGTAAAAATTTTTTTCATAAAAAAAGAAATAAATTCAAATTAATAAAATTTTATTTATAAATTCTCAATAATTAAAAATTTATTGGGAGGTTTAGAATAAATTATCATATAAATTTGATATTGCATAACATTAATTAAGACAATATCCTAGTGACAATTTTTATCTCATTTAGCAGCAAAAATTAATTTATGACATAAGGTTAAAGATATTTGGCTAGATTAATTGCAGCATCAATATTATTATTTCTTGCTTAATTGTAATAATAACAATATATGAAATTTGGCACCATATTATAAATTAAGAGACAAAACTGATAAATTCAGGAACAAAATTTATTCTTTATTAAATAAGTTAAATGTTGTTTAATTTTATTTTTGTTTAAATTTATTCTAATTTCAACAAATAGTTCTATAATGTACGGTAGTTATATATTATTTGTTTGCAATTTTCTGCAAGCTGAGGATGGTCATAAGATGACTGGAAACATAAGAAATAAAATTTATTTTTTATTAGATAGAATTTAACACTTTTATATTAATATTAACAACTTTAAAAAACTTTTGAGACTATATAATTTCTATTAATAATTCCAAGGAAAACAATTTCAAGCTGTCTTCAAGGACTCAAAAATATTTAACTATTTAGTTCATTAGAGATCGTCATTTCTATCTTCAGATCGTAAATAATGAAAACAAAAACAAAATAGATAAAATTTACATCTGTAAAATAATCCAGTAAATTGTCTTGTATAAAAATCCTCAATCATGTACTGTGGCAATTTTCACATTGTTCACATACTAAGATATGTATTTAATTATTAATAGAAAGGCAAATATTTACATTGCTTAATCAAGTGTCTGCAACCAAGTCTTAGTCCATTTTTTTATTTATTGAGGTATAAACAAGAAAGGAAAATAAATAAAAAGGTTGTATCATTATTTGTTAAATAATGAATAAAACCTTTCTTTTGTTCATGGAACTGTAAATCAATCATAGATGTATTGTCATCACATCAAAAAATAAGCTTTCAGTTAACAAGCAAACTAAAGGCTTATTTTTGATGTGAAAGCAATATACACTATAAAAAGTGCGATCAAGAAGTTTGGGATCTGGATCATGGAGGGTGTTAGAATTAACATCAGAATCTTTGCTATGATGAGGAGGTGCTGTAATCTTCCTGCTGGAGACTGCTCGAGTTTTGTAGTGATTCATCTATTAGTATTCAAGTAACAGTTGATTAACAACTGCATGGTTTTTTTGCTATTTTTTGGTTTTAAAATGTGTGACATTAAAGAACAAAGAACCTGCATTAAATTTTATTGGAAACTTCAAAAAAGTAGTGCAGAAACATTTTAAATGCTACAATCTTTGCATATGATACCTTGTCTTATTCAAAGGTATTATAAGATTTAATTATAATTCAAAAGTATTATAAGATTTAAAAATTGCCAAACACTAGATGATTTAAGAACAGGATGACCTTCAATAACCATCATAGACAAAAGTAAAGGAATACATCATTGACATTATTCTGTAGTATCCCAATTCATGCAGCATTAATTGGCACAAATGAATAAAGATATTTCAAGTCCTATGCTAGAACTAGCATTTGAAGTTTTTAATTAAATTAACATAATTATTTTATCAATGTAGAACTAATGTTTATTTTGTTTTATTTACAATTAATGACTGCAAATGATAACAGTCAAAGAGAAAATAAACTGCATCCTTTAACTTGCAAAATTAAAGTCAATAACAGTCATTAGAAGAAACTATACTGTTATTAACTTTAATTCAAAAGTCAACAGATGCAGTTTAATTTCTCTTTGATTGTTACCATTTGGAGTCATTAATAGGATTTGTAATAAAACAAAATAAAATAGTTCTACACTGATAAAATTATTATGTTAATAACTTTAAAAGTTAGGCTTTCAGATGTTATTTATTGCCTAGTTTTAACATTTGTACATTTTTAGTTATTGAAGAATAAAACTGCAGGACCACCATGTGTTCAGCTTATAAAAGTTTCTTCAATACATAATTTAACTAATTTTTTGCATATCATTAATAATTATTCTATCATATCATAATCTTTTATGTCAATAATTATGCATTGAATATTAAAAAATTCTTATGTTTATTATATTAATACATTAATTACAAAGTTTAAATTATGTTTAAAATAAAAACAATTTATAATATTTAATAAATAATATATCATTATAAATTAGATATTATGAATTAAAACNATTATGCCAAGTAGTCAGATGTGAGGAGGATGTGGAGGAACACTTTCTTCACACATTCATACAGATACAGACTTTTTACACATTGCAGCAGGTCCCTTTTTATTGTTTTTTAATCACACTTTGTTAATTTCTATTTAAATTTTAATTTATACAATATTATTACAAATGCATTTGCATTAAATATGATAATTTAATACTACAAAATTCATTTTTCTGTTAATTAATTAAAATTTTCTGTAATTTAGAATAATTATAATTAATTCAAATTCAAAATCCAAATTTATTAGTAAAAGGCAACTGCCTGTTACAAAGGGAGTTCTACTCCTTGTCATTATCATTAGTATCATTACAAAATTAATTAACACTAAAAAACTTCTTAACATAATTATATAAATTATAAACATTTTTTTGGGTTGCACGATGGAACAACACATACATTTCTACCACCGATTCACATCCGCTAAAGTCTACAAGATCATATCTCTGTCTCAATTCTATGCTCTCCTTACATTCACAAATCAGATGAAATTTAGAAAGAGGCATAAGACACCTTGGACATAAATTGTTCTCATATATATATACTTTGTTGTCCATCACCAGTGTACTAACATTAAGTTGAAGCTGTATAAAAAGTCTCTTCACACAAAATGGAACGCTCGAAAATATATAACTATTATTACTCAGGTATAACAATATTGAACTATATTGGTTCAAAGATATTCGTAAGTGAGTGTCCTCTATATCTCGTGTTAATGAAATTTCTAGTACATTCCGGATTAGTTGCTGATACAACTCATCTCCAAGTTCTGGAGAAAAAATAAATGGTTCAATCGAGCTGCCATAACCATTAATTATTTTAGACAAGTCTGATATCCAATTCCTTTTCGAAAATCCATTAATGGAATTTTTATATAATTGGTTTAAAAGGTTAGATGTAATTTCACCACCATCTCTTACCTTAATTAATAGCTTTATGCATCTTTTGACAAAGAGCACCATGAAACTAAATCTACTTATCTCCAATCTAAGTATACTACCTGGAGTTTTATAATCTAACCAAAATAATCTGCGTATAAATTGAATAATAATTGTAATTATAAAATTTGTAATTTATGAAAATTATATTTAATATGAAGCTTTAAATATTTGTCTTCCTATTGTTCTTAATAATGATTTATAAAAGAATATATATATATAATGGTGTTGAAAATCTAGACTAATTAGGATCAGATCCCATCCACATTTTCAATTTGTTTATATTTTAAAATATACAGGTAAATTAGCATTTTGAGCTCTGTAAACTCCAAATATACTGTAAATCAAGTTTAGCTGTTCTAAGTTCAAGCCAGTATTTTATTAAGTAAATTATATTTTGAACCTTTGTAAGTATTCTTACAAAGATTCAAAATATAATTTACAGAATTGTTATATTTAATCAAAAAATACACTACTTATAATTTCAAAATTTAAAAAATGATAAATTCTGAATATTAGAACATTAACAAGGCAAGACTGAAAGAACATCAACAATGAAGTTACCTTTGAAAAGGATTAATATCCATTTTTCAAAGGCCAAATCCAGATTTTTGACACTTTACAGTATATATATCTTACAGTATAATTATATGCTTTTATGAAATGAGAAGGCAATTTCAAACACAAACACATTATTTATTATTTTAATTATTAAAATTTTCTTTACTTTAAGCCAAATTGTTTCAAATTTACGATAAAAATCAATACTTAAAAAGGAATACATCATTGACATTATTCTGTAGTATNGAGAAAAAACTTGATTAACTTTCATGAGTAGGTTTGTAATTCAGTTTTTAACATTCAACATCTTTGTGAATTTAATTATGAATTATATTAAAAACTGTAATTAGCTATATAATACATTTATATTAACTATATAATATACATATAATCATTAAACTGATTATATGTATATTATATAGTTAATATAATACATTTATATTAACTATATAATATACATATAATCATTAAACTGATTATATGTATATTATATAATACATTTATATTAACTATATAATATACATATAATCATTAAACTGATTAATAAATATAAGTACAGTGGTGCCTCGTATAACGTACTTAATCCATTCCAGGTGCACATCCGTTAAGTGAAAAGTCCGTTATACGAAACGCATTTTCCCATAGAAATACATGTTAAAACATAATTCGTTCTGCAGCATAAAATAACTGTACTGTACCATAATAAAAAAATTAAATTGGAGTAGTCACCAATTATGCCGGGTAGTTAGATGTGAAGAGGACATGGAGGAACACTGTCTTCACACATTCATACAAATACAGACTTTTTACACATTGCAGCAGGTCCCTTTTTATTGTTTTTTAATCAGAGTCAGATTCAGGAGAGGCTACCAGAGTTTGCAGGGTCAACTCCTCTTGTTCCATCCTTTGTTTTTTGGCACCTGGCTTCTTGAAAACATGTCCAAGGTGGTCTGTTTCTTTCTCTTTTTCAACACCTGTTGGAAATGACGGGCAAGGGTGTCATTGTAGAGATCATTGATCCTGTTGGCCTCAGCTGTGTTTGGATAATGAGTGTTTGTAAACTCCTGAACCTCTCCCCATTTGACAAGGAAGTCCATGTCAACTTTCACTCCTTCTGATGATTTATTGTTTTATTAAAATTGAAATCACCTTTGTTTTTTTAGAAGCCGTGATTTGCACAACACTTGAATAAATGTAAATACCCTGCACCGAGGTGATGTACACCTCGGTGCAGGGTATTTACATAAACAAGGGAGCAAGCCAAATCCCAACAGGAGCTCTGTACTTCAGATATACTAATAATATATTCTAATAATACTAATATATTATAAAAATATCAGATTGCCATTGGCAATGGCAAAAGAGTGGAAACATCATTTCCACTCTTTTGCCTTGTTCACAGAAAGTCCATTGTTCACCTCACGTAACGGCCAAACAGAAAGTCCATTGTTCGCAGTGTCCATTATTCAAGGCATATGTTATACGAGGCATCACTGTAGTTGGTTTTGAAAGTGTGTAGGAAGGAGTTGATAAATTGTATCTTTCACTATGCTCAAAATTATCATGTTGTTGGACTTTGAGAAAGTCAGTTGTATCAGATCTACGTCCAATTCACTGTCCATAAAATTTATTGTTTATTTCACTAAATAGGAAATCTGGATATGTTATCATCAGTGGTGGATCATAGCATCTAATATGGGAGTACTATACATGGCACACAATCCTAATTAAATTGTTTTAATTTTTTAAACTATTTTGATTGACTTTAGCTTAAAATTAACCAAAATCAGTGCCAATCAAAACATTGTATGAAATCAAAACAATTTTATTAGGATTGCATTAACATGCAATACTAATAAAATTGCATCCCATATTAGATGCCACTAACCTCAGGCACAGAAATTTTACATAGTTCTCATGTACAGAGATTTTGTTGCCACTCTGTATAAATTAAAATTATTGTATGAGAGGAAAAGTTATTTATTCAAGAAATACAGTATTCAATTTTTAAAAAATGTATTGATATAAATGATAATTAATGTGAAATGTTTTTTTTTAAGGATGATAATGTGGAACTTGCAGCACATTATATGAGCACTTTAGTGGAATTAGTTTTGACCATGAAGGATCGATTGGCTGATATTAATGAGAACTCATACAATAATTTCATGCTGAGAGTTGGTAAGTTGACAATTTTTCTTATCCTACAGCATTTTATAACAAATTTATAGATATGAAAAAGAGAAAAAACTTGATTAACTTTCATGAGTAGGTTTGTAATTCAGTTTTTAACATTCAACATCTTTGTGAATTTAATTATGAATTATATTAAAAACTGTAATTAGCTATATAATACATTTATATTAACTATATAATATACATATAATCATTAAACTGATTAATAAATATAAGTAAATTTATCTTAATTTTTATACAGGGCTTAATATTGGTCCAGTTGTTGCTGGTGTCATTGGAGCGCGCAAACCTCAATATGATATTTGGGGAAATACTGTTAATGTGGCAAGTCGTATGGATAGTACAGGATTACCCAGTCATATTCAAGTAATAATTTAATTTTTTATTCAAAATTATATATTTATATAATAGTATTTTAAAATTATTGTTATTTATAGGTTACAGAAGAAGTATATATTTTGCTCAAGGATTATCCTTATGTTTTTCACTGTAGAGGTAAAGTAAAAGTGAAGGGGAAAGGTGAAATGACTACATATTTTCTCACAGATAGAAAAAATGGTCAGCAAACTGGGCCTTATAATGAGAATCGTAAGTTACCTGAAGTGCCTGGTTCTTCTGCAGGAGGTGTACCAGGTGGTGTGCCAACTCCTCTTAGTTTAATAGGACCAAATGCTAGAAGAAATAGTAGTGGCTCTAGTCCGGCTCACAACAGTAAGCCTGAAGGTACCCAAAGTCCTCCTCAAAATCACAGTAGTTTATGGTACAAATCACCTCAAGATCAACCAGAAACACTATTAGAAGAAGACACTGGTTCTCAAAGTTCTATTGGAGGTCCATTATATACTCAACCAAAGCCTATTGTAGTAAATACTCCACCTAAAACTTATTCTCAATCTAGGCCTCGATCAATGAGACCGGAGGGAAGGGGCCAGTCTATATCCTCTAGCATTTCTTTCGATGAAGGCACTCCAGTTTCTTCCTCACAACAACCTTCTTTGAAACGAGAGACTCCTTGGGATAGTCTTCGCAAAATAACTAGTCTTGTGCCACCACCTGCTACTGATGATGATAAAAGTATTCCCAATTCCACACCTCCCAAAAGCTATGCAAATTCTAGATTACAGAGATTTTCAACTCCTCCTAGGAAAACATTTTCATTTCCTCCAGCGCCTCCACCAGAAAGTGATGAAGATATCCGTGTAAATAAACCAGAAAGATGTATTGACACAGAAGGTCCATCTTCAATGGATAGTTCTTCACTTAATCATTCTGTATCCAGTTCATCTTGTGATAGCTTTACCCACACAAATCTCATTACAGAACAACCAAATATTAGAGGTGAAACACCAACAGGTGTAAAGTGGGTTTATCCTGTTCATCAAGATTCTAGTATCGATGGTTCAGTCAACGACACTAGAATTGATATTCTATCATCATCAGGAGAAAGTGGTCCTCCCCTATATGGTAGATTAACTGTAGATAAACATTGTTTTCCTGAAGTTGGCACTTCTCCATCTCATTGTGCAACATCGATCCAGTTTCCCCCACCTCCTTCTGATAAAGATTTTCGAGCAAAACCCATTCTCCTGCTTTCTGTTAGACCATCCGACCCTTCAAAAAAATTTCCATCATATAGTGGTAGTTCAACTAACAGTAATTCCTCTACGCCATGTAGTGGTGCACCCAAGGAACCTTGGAGAAAGGTTGAACAGCATATGCAAAATACATCTCCTCTTGACACACGTAGTAGTAATTCTGATATTAGATATCTGCAGCAGCGTCAAAATTCAGCTGAAACAACATCGTCACTTATGACAACACCTGAAGATGATGCCCAGAATTTGAGTTTGGGTGAAGTAGCAGGACCATTACCAACAACTAGATGGATGCCTTTTAGTGGAAAGAAATATATGTTGGAAGAAACTGCTAAAGGAGAAGAGGAGGATACTAGAACGGCATTGCTGTATGGAGATTCTTGTTTGAGAGATATCTTTTATTCAGAACCAGCTGAAAATAAATGTGGAACTATACCTATTCAAGAAGAAAAAACAAAAGGAATTCCTCTTCAAGATTTAAAAAATGCAAAAAATGTGATTGATGAATTAAATGAATCAGAGTTAGGAAAGAAACCTATAGTTGAAACGGCAATAAGTGACAGAATTAACAACAATCCCATAGTTCTTAAATTTTCAGATCATGAAACCACCAAAGACCACGAGGGCAATGTCTGCTATCGACCCAGTGATAGTACTCAAAATGCCTACCAAAGAGTGCCTAACTATTTACCTACAGAGAGTAGGAAGGGTGCATTGAAAACGGAGTTTAGTGCAGATGATTCTGAATCAGATGATGATGGAAATGAAGAAGAAGAAACTTCAGATGAAATGCCATTAATAGCAGATCATCCCTATTCTGGTAATGATCCTGCTCTAGAAAATGTGTCTCTGATGAATGAACAAGGACTGACTGATGCAGAAGGAGCTCTCAGCGACCTAAACTCCATGTTCAATGATCCAGGACATGAAGCAGATATGGATGATACTAGTCTCTCTTCTCGTGCAAGCAGCCATGTATTTGACAGTGATCAACTACTTAGTATTGATTCACTAAACATTGTGTATGATTCTGAATATGACAATTATAAACCAGGCATGATTAGTGATGATGATATTTTTCACCCTGAGCCAATTAGTGACTTGGATTATTATGATGGTAGCAATCTACGATCAGTTACAGATAGCATCACCAAAAATTTTGGTCAAGGAAGAACTATCAGTGAAAATGATGATAGTGAGGAAGGTTGATCGAGGCCTTTTGTGTAAGAATATTTATATAGGTATGTATATTTAAGTAAATTTATAGACATTGACTCTATTCAGTGCATTGAAGTAGTGGTTTGCTTCTAGAAAATCATCTCGACTTTAGAAAGCATTTGTCATCAAAAATATCTAAACCGAGTAGATCTTCCATCATTATTTGCATTCATAGCAAATATATGATTGTAGACATATCAGAAAAGGACATTCTTTATTTTAATGCTTGATGGAAAAAAAATGAAATTCGTAATGAATTGCTTAATTTAAGGCTGATATTTATACATGACAGCCGTCATTGCAAGCAGTGCCTCTCCTTTGTTACTGATTGTTTGATTCTGTTAGAAAGAAAATAGCAAATTGCCTAAGAAAGTGAGGAAGAGAATGAGAAATGATCTAAGAGAAGCAATTAATGATCCTTTTGTTAGTAAAAGGGAATTTTAAAAATCTCCCATTATATTAAAAACCATTAACAGAATATAAGTTTTAACCATATAAAAGATAATCCTTTAGAGTGCCAGTTGACAAAATAAGTTATAGAATATCAAGTGTTTACGGGTATCTTGAGAAAAACACATTCAAAGTTTTTATTTATCCAGATTTACTATACAAGATAAAAAAATGCAGTATACAAGGCCCCATTAATTTTGTTTAAGATACAAGAGTAATGATAGGAATCATATTAAATACAAGTAATTAATTATAAATACAAATATATAAGAATGATTCTAATGCAAAGTGTAATAATGGGATGAAGTATTACAAAGAATGTATTGATTCTGATATATGGATAATCAGGATTAAAAATAAAACAAAGAAATTCTTCTAGGTAATCTTTTATTATAATTAAGAATTAATAATTGTATTTCCATATAAGACATAATTTGCAATGTGGTAATTTTGGCCTTAACTACATTATATATATTTTCAGAATTTTTATTCTTCCATGTGTTTTCTGTGTCACATTCTTAAGTGAATTTTTCACTTATAATCCAATGCATTTAAAAGGTCATTTATTGTTAAGAAAAATCCATTTATATATATATATATATATACTTTTCTTGTTGCTTGAATTTTCTGATGTTTTAATTGTAAGAAAGCAACCTATATAGATTTTTAAATATCTTTAAAAAATTTTAATAGAGGTTCTCCGAATTCAATTAGTAAAAGACAGTAATATAATTTAGAACCATAATTTTTTGATGTTGCAAAAAATAAATAATCAAATAAAATATCTAAAAATTTTATTAAAGAAAATTAAATAAAAATAATATAGAAGATAAGATTTTAAATATTTTTTGTCATGTATTTTTTTTAAACAAGATTTTAAAAAGTTTTCTTCATCTTTATATATGTATATATACATTTCCATCATTTATATCTATATACAAATAAAATTTTCTTATTTTACTATTAAAGATTTTTACAATGCTTACAATTCATGTAAAAAATCAAACCAAATTGAATAAATGTATTCTCTGAATTTCTAAAAACTTGATGTTTAGAAAAAATTTCTGGGAAGATGTTTTTTAATTCAAAGAATTCGGTAGAACCTCTATCATTTACATACAGTACAGTAAGCATTTCTTCCAGATCTTTATATATAAAATACAGTAAAAAATAAACAAACAAATAAACTTTACATCATTTCGCTAGTCTGATTGAGTTTAAAAACTTTTTAAAATGATGTTTTTTGTGTAATGGTGATTTTAAAATATATATATATATATATTTTGTTTTTTGAAACAAAGTAACAACAGTCTGCGAGATGAAAATGTGAATTTTTTAAAAGAGGGGCAGCTTTTAACAACAATCAGAATATTCGAATTGTTCGCTATTTTTACATGATTTTAGTGTAATAAAAAATATATATATATATAATATAAAAACAATTCAATATATTTCTCTTCTTTTTAATTGTTGTGTGTCAGACATGGAAAAAACTGTATAGAAAAGTAATTTAGACCATTGTTACTTTAGAAAACATATTGGTTTAGAGCAATAAACTAATGTATTGTTGTTATGTCTCAATTCTTGTCTTTTCTACTTTAACAAATGTTAAATGATAAAACAATAAAATCTCACAATTAACATATTGTGGTGGTTCATTACGGGACAGGTATACAATCCCATGAACGAAAAATTACAAACACAAAGATACAAAATTCAATTATCACACAGAAACTTTACTTTGAGAATCCCAACTTAACAAACTTTATGCCTCTTTTATACAGAAAAAAAAAGGAACAGGCTTGTCCTCCACTGTCAGCGGGGTTCATACATGTGACAACAAAAAAATACTTATATAATTAACTTATATCTATCTTATAACTAATGAAAAAAATAAGAACGTAGGACAGATGAATATGGAAACAAAAGGTAGGGAGAATAGAAATATCTGGGATTTCTTTTGGTATGTATATACACTGTTCGATGTATAGTGCCTCTTTGCTATCTTTTTCTCCAAGGTCTGTTCTGCTCTTCTCGATTATCAAAGAATTCTGCTCGTTCCTTGGACTCTTCGTTGTCCTCACGGCCCTTTTCTTTTGTTATTGTCTTTTTCCTTTCTTGCCGGTTCAGGTCACGAGCACTCCTTTCTCAATCTGCTCTCTTCAGAATCTCTCTCCAGAATGCTCTATTTTTGACTGGTCTTTTTCCCTGGCCCCACTCCCTCTCTTGTTCTTATTTTCTTAGAAGAGGTAATCCTACCCCAAGGGCAAAAGGGGTAGATCAGAAGGTCTTAGAAGAGACAAAGAACAGGAAGGAAGGATAGGATTAATTCAAAAAAAATATATATATATATACAATATCATGGCTGACGGCCACAATATAATAGTTCCCCAATAAAGCAGAATTTAAAATTTTCAGAACTCTTGGTCGATCCTCAGGGTTATAATCTTCTAAAAATAATGCTTCTAAATGTTCTAATTTTAATGTGTTTTTAATTAATAAATCCAATTTTTAATTGTTTAATTCCAGAAAAAAATTAGAATTCTTAAGTAATAAAAAAGAGCTGAAATTAGAACATCTAGAAGTGTTATTTTTAGAATATATCCCCAAAGATGGGTCCAGAGATATGGAAGTACTAGGAAAAGCTCACATCAATACAATTGACTTTGCTGATAAAGAAGGATTTATGTAAACTTGAGATTGGAGCTTTATGATGTTACAAATTACTAATTTATTTTTATACATGCCAACAGTTTTACAATTAGTTAAAATTAGAATTATCTTGAACAAATCTCTTTAATAAATATAATTTTTTTTATTTCAATTAAATTAGTAACTAGTACATNATAAGAACGTAGGACAGATGAATATGGAAACAAAAGGTAGGGAGAATAGAAATATCTGGGATTTCTTTTGGTATGTATATACACTGTTCGATGTATAGTGCCTCTTTGCTATCTTTTTCTCCAAGGTCTGTTCTGCTCTTCTCGATTATCAAAGAATTCTGCTCGTTCCTTGGACTCTTCGTTGTCCTCACGGCCCTTTTCTTTTGTTATTGTCTTTTTCCTTTCTTGCCGGTTCAGGTCACGAGCACTCCTTTCTCAATCTGCTCTCTTCAGAATCTCTCTCCAGAATGCTCTATTTTTGACTGGTCTTTTTCCCTGGCCCCACTCCCTCTCTTGTTCTTATTTTCTTAGAAGAGGTAATCCTACCCCAAGGGCAAAAGGGGTAGATCAGAAGGTCTTAGAAGAGACAAAGAACAGGAAGGAAGGATAGGATTAATTCAAAAAAAATATATATATATATACAATATCATGGCTGACGGCCACAATATAATAGTTCCCCAATAAAGCAGAATTTAAAATTTTCAGAACTCTTGGTCGATCCTCAGGGTTATAATCTTCTAAAAATAATGCTTCTAAATGTTCTAATTTTAATGTGTTTTTAATTAATAAATCCAATTTTTAATTGTTTAATTCCAGAAAAAAATTAGAATTCTTAAGTAATAAAAAAGAGCTGAAATTAGAACATCTAGAAGTGTTATTTTTAGAATATATCCCCAAAGATGGGTCCAGAGATATGGAAGTACTAGGAAAAGCTCACGTCAATACAATTGACTTTGCTGATAAAGAAGGATTTATGTAAACTTGAGATTGGAGCTTTATGATGTTACAAATTACTAATTTATTTTTATACATGCCAACAGTTTTACAATTAGTTAAAATTAGAATTATCTTGAACAAATCTCTTTAATAAATATAATTTTTTTTATTTCAATTAAATTAGTAACTAGTACATCTTTAAACATGATTATGCTCATTTGTATTAATTAAAATACATTCAAATTAGTTTTAAGTCAAAATAACAATTTGATATTTTAATTAGGAGCTTAACAAATGTTAATACCTGCTGATAATTAATTTTAAAATTGTTCAAGATTTTGTGCACTTCAGTGTAAAAATTTGAATGGAATTGCCACAAACTGTATTAATTTTAATTATGATTAAAAATATATAACTTTAAAAATAAATTTGTTAAGATGATTCAAGAGTGAATCATTCAAACTAAATGAAGTCTGATGTAGGGAGCATTATGTATGATGAACTGTCAATGCATTCATTTATAAAATAATCATTAAAAATTAATACCTTTAAAATGTGTAAAAGTTATTTCAACATTTTTAAATTTACATAATTCAATATTTATTTATTTATTTTTTCTTTTATATATTTAAATGTTTAATTAAGAATATATAAGCACAAATTTCCTATGCATACTATTTTTAAGTTATCAGTATTCACCCCTCCATTCTACATCCAAATTTTATTTTATTTTTTTTCAGTATTCTTCCAGATATCGTCCATGTTGAAGTTAAAAGTTGTTAAAGTAGTTATTTTTGACAACTGTTTTTAAGTCTTCAACTATTCAAAGATGGAATTGAGAAAACTTCTCTTATAATTTGTTTTGGTATATTGTAAATGTTAAATCTGGACTTGAAAAGGCCACAGTATATTAGGACCACAATGTGACATCTATTGCATTTGCCATCAAGACTAGCTGGCACATTCAGGACATATCTTGCATATAAGCTTGTAAAATCAATACATTCTATAGCTATCACAATCTTCTAATTAGTAAACTATACCTGAATACATAAATATCAGTTTAATAAGCAAAAAGTAATATCATTTACATATTATTATCAAGATCTGATGCTACAGAGAAGCTGTAAAATATTAGTTGTTCTTTAACAACTTTGCCAATATCAAAAATATATTATAGATTTAATTAAAGATCTTTATTACTATGAAAGAAAGATCCTTGAATACACAAAATGAAAATTTAAACTCTTTTAGAAGTTATACTGAAAAAAATTTTCCAAAAAACTTATTCTGAAATATAACTTAAATTTTAATATCAGTTTTTATCTTACATTGAATATATAATAAATCTATTTTTATGTCTTTGCATTTAAATTCTGATTTTAAAAACTTTTTTTAAAATATTAAAGGAAGCATTTAATATGAAACATGTTATAAAACTAATTTTAAGAAATAAAATAATATATTTTTAAGCGTTAAAGCATTTTTCATGTTATTTTTGGAAGAGAGAATTTTAATGAGATGCCAGAAAAGGTAAGTGGATCGATAAATTTAAATATTTAAGCTGTTTTAATACAAGAGAAATATGCAGATAATATTTACATAATCTAATATATTGATATTCAAATAAAAGTTACTTTGAAACAATTTTTCAAGATTTTTTTCAATAGAATTTATTAAAAACTTTCAGCTTTAAAAAAAATCAATATAGGTCTAAAATGTTTTAAAAATCTCCTCCTTAAATAAATGATTTTTATTATACAAACATATAAGAAAAAATATAATTTTTCTTAAAATATTCATGTGTTTAACGATAAATCAATTTGGCGCATTACATTTATCAAAACTACAAATGCTGTATTTATTTATCAATAGAACAAAGTAATTTTCAAATCTTTTTCATTGTATACTAGTATATACAGTGGTACCTCAGGATACGAAATTAATCCGTTCCGAAACTGAGATCGTATCATGAAAATGTCGTAAGGTGAATCATCTTTTCCCATACGATTACATGTAAAACCAAATAATTCGTTCCAACGCGAAAAACATACTCAAATTAAAGCCAAGTAATACATTAAAAAAATAACTGTAGTAAGAAAAACAAATGAAAAATGCGAACTAATGTAACGTCGTATGGTGAGTTTTTGTTCGTATCGTGGAGCAAAAATATGTTCGAATTTCATGTCGTATCCTGAAAATTTCGTATGCTGGGGCGTTCGTAACCTGAGGTACCACTGTATATAAATGAGGATGTTTGTTTGTTGACTCCTAGGCCGTTTGACCAATTGCTACGAAACTTGGCAGTTACGTTTGCATACTTGTAATGTACCGGATACATTCCATCCCAAAATATCTATTGGATTTCTGTTTATTAATTTCTATTTAACATTCGATTTGATAATTTACACGTAGCGTCATCTATTGGCAAAAAGTTTAACAAAATAATAAACTAAATATAATTCTTATAGAAAAAAAGGATATAATTTAAAAATATATCTATACTAATATTATAAAGAGGTAATGTTTGTAAGTAAGTATGTAAGTTTGTTTGCAGCAGGTAATCTCCAAAACTACTCATCCGATTTCAAAAATTCTTTCACCAATATTTAGAATGGAATCTCAGGGTGGACATAGGCTGTATATTATTTCGTTAAACATTCATATAAATTAAAATATATAATCTAGGTTAAGGCTTTTATGTCCAACAGATGGCGCTACGAGTACGACGCCCTAAGTTTGCTTTTCTGTGAAAATGAACTAAAGCGGATCATCTTCTATCTATCTATATAAATAAAAATGTAATGTTCGTTTGTTCCTACCGATTCCTTTGAAATTTTGACACAACGCTGCATTCGAATACGCACGTGTTTTTATATAATATACGTGTCGAAATTCCCCCCCACTGAAGGGAGATGGTTAGGATTAAGGCTTACCGTAAAGAACTCTGCATCTATTTATACTATTTTAGATGCGGCTTTTTGTGTTTTTGATTGCGTTTTAATAGGGTACGTCAACAGAATGTACACTAAGAAGGGATTTTTCGATATTCCCTGCGGAGGAGAGGGACAGGATTAAGGCTTACCGTGAACAACTTGGCTTCTATTATACTATTTTGAATGCGGTTTTTGCGTTTTTGATTGCGTCAAGGGTACGTCAAGAGAATGTACACTAAGAAGAAATTTTCCAAAAAATTTCCCCCCACGGGGGAAGTGTTATACATTTATAATAGATACATTTTGAGCCACAACAACGCGTGGCGGGGTCTGCTAGTATATTATATTTACTTAATTACTGCGACAATAATATAGCGTGTCGCGTTACCGTAACCAAATAAACCAAACTAATTCTAACGAGCAATTATTTATGGTGACATGGTCACAATGTTGTCAATTGTTTTAGTAGTGTCTTGCCCCTGTACAGTACATCATACTTTTCCTGTTAATAATACTTGCTATTTGTTAACAAAATATTATTTTAACCCTTGTTTATCTAACTCTATTCGACACTATTAGTCGTGTCGAACGGAGTTAGATAAACAACTATAGTAACTCCGTTCAGGGGAAAGTTTGAATCGAAGTAACGTGACTTCCGTTCCAAACCGGAAGTTCATATATAGTTAATCTGGGCGTCCTGAAGCTTTCCACGTATAGTCTCGACTTTCATCTATCTGACTCTTTTCTCGAGATTAAAGGAGGACAGATGAGAGTCAAAATTTATAGATCTACAACTTTTGCAAATTGCAACCCAATAATTTTGCTATTGTAAGATAGCCGACCGGTGGAGATAGGGGACTTGAAACCCACTCCACGGCACCTGTGTAAGGTTGCCGTCTCCTAAGTGGGATCTATTAATCCCGCGTCAGGATGAACCTAAGGAAAAGTTGTATGTGGGCTGTGACGGAGGAGGCAAATGATGACAAGTGTTTTACACAAGAAAGCCATTTATTTGTTAACGTTTGTGCTTACATCGACAACCGACAGTCCTTCACTAGGTTCTTCTCGTTGAAGATGCGGAGAGGCGAGAACTTCGACGTCTGTCTGGCCCCGGGGCGGACGAGATAAGGTCGCTGAGCAAGGCGGACGATCGGAAGGAGGAAGCGGCGGAGTCCAAATTTCTTGGCGACGACACACCACAATATAAGTCACGACCTTTCGTGGAATACGGAGGAGAGCCTTTTCCGACCTTGAATTTCGGATTTTTATAGTTTTTTTTTTTTCTTCTGAAATTCGGACTTCTGATTGGCCCCTCATCTCCTTCCTCGCTTCCCGATTGGTCTCTCTTTTGTTTTGGGGAAAATCGAGACCGACTCGAGTCACGGGAAAGGTCCGATTCCAGGTGTCTGCTCGACGCCTTTCTGTCGATTGTTCTTGGGGATTGTTGACAAAATTGCAAGATTCGCGCTTATAATTTAGCTCCGTTACTCGCGATTTCTGTCCTCTGGGTACTCGAACGATCATATGCAATGATTTATCTCTCTCTTAAATCTTTCCCTCTTTTCCGAAATTGTTTCCCTAGATTGATTGTTTATGAGCGCTGGGATCAAAGTTCTACCTGCATATGACCACTTGTCTCTGACTTATAACTTTTCATTCTGACATTGACAGTTCGTTTAACACGTGTTGGAGTCATCCGAGACTCGTTGTCTACATTTTGTGCCGCGTTGTTTAAATTATGGGATTTTCCACTCCCTCTCATATTTAATCTATCGTTATTATTTAATCATAAGAATACAGCGATTTACATGATTTCGGATCTCGATTGGGTCCTCACACTATAAACACGATATTTACGAGAACATATTTCCCATGTAGTTCATACAATCTGTTGCAAAAATATAAACACTTTATTATCACATAAAAGCAATTATTCTAGTATTTTTACTTTATATTTAAAACTTAAAACTGTCAAACTCATTTATGGCTCGCTTGTATTGGATAGATTAGATTGTACCCAGCGTGCTGCTTCTTGAGTTTTTCATTATTCAATACAAATAAATAAATCAGAAGCACCGGTTAATCTCCCGAGCACGCTGAGTCATGTAGGATTAGGTGCTTACGTTTATATATTACATAAACTTTTAACCTATTGGACTATTTGGATATATATACTTTTGTTTATATTATTAAACGCGCCCCGACCTTTTTTATATCCCACACCCTGTGACAGACGTCTGGATCCGCGGCTGCGTCCCCATCACCTATAATTGGGTATGACAGAGACGTTTTAGTCTTGAACCCTGTCTTTTCCCTATCCTGTCTTCTTTCCGAAATACAGGGTAATGTTATCCAGATAATATTATGGTTGCGAATGTTATATGAGTAATGAATTTATAATTAAAGTAAACAATAATGTTTTTTTAGGCTATATACTTATGCATATTACAGAAAGTTCAATTACTAACAATAATAACATTTCTCTCAGTGAGAGAATATCAAATTTTAAGTCCCCTTATGTTTTATTTTATTCATAATTTCATCTCATAATCTTACAGTATTAATTTTTTAAAGAAAAATTCATTTTTAACTAAGGTGTCTATTCATAAATTTAATTTATTTTCACTTTTAACTAATAGAAATTACGAATAAAGTTTCATAACTTGTAACTATGACCGAAACTGACAGAAATCCAGTTCTCGCCATTGGTTCTGTTCGCCGTAGCGGCATAATTTAGAACTAATGAGATAAAAAGACCCTGCTGAAAGAGGTTAGCTCACGAATTTGAATGTCATGCCAACGTCCGCTCGGTGTTTTAAATATTTGATTGTAGAATCAATATTTGAATAGAGCAATTTTACTAATATGCAATATAATATCACAAATTTATAGATCATTGACTATTTTTAATTACTTAATTAATTAAAACATTTATTTATTTAATGGCCAATCAGTTTAGACCCCATTTTCACTGATTCTAAAATATTAGAAATTTTCCCGTCAAGTATGACGGAAATTTTTTTATGAGAAAGTAGAGATTGAAGAATTGAGAAGAGCGGAGATTTCAAGAAATTCGAGAAGAGTTGTTAATATTTTTACAACTTAAGTAGTTTATACTATCTGTTGTAACATAAAGAGCAATAAAACAAAATTTTACCTGAAGTGGACAAAAATTGCAGGAGTTATAAGAAATTCACACACACAGACGACGGCTTTTGTATTAGTAATGTCAATACCTATTTGATTGTAAATGTTATGGTCAGCCTATCTAATATCTACAAAACTTAACCATTTACTTTGCAGTAAATATTTATTAGTACTGTATAACATTTTCGGTCTTCTTACACTCCTACATTACCTGAATATGGGAAACAGTTTAATATTAATAATATAAAATATAAAAGTTTTATACATTTTGTACGTTTTTTAAAATACGAACGACTTTAATTTAAAATAATTTATATTTTTGGTTCATTATTAAAATATTTGCTCCGCAAGGGGGCGCTGTATGTTTTATTTACGATTCGATGGCTTCCATCTTGGTAATTGTGATGTATAGAAACTGAAAAGTAAGTCGAAATGGGTAAAGGATTTAATAATTATATGTGTAAGAAACCGTTTCATCCAGGCTCGAAAGCTAATATAAAACGAGTAAGTTTAATACTTATTAAGTTATTGAACGTAAATAATATATATTTTTTTGTGTGCTTTGTAAATGTACTGTATTTCAAGCATTAAAAAATTATAAAATATTCTGAATGTTGAACGTTTATATTTTCAACATGTTTGTTGTTTACATTATCTTCCCAAGGTCATAGGTCAAAAGTTAATTTTGACAAATTTCCTAAATGTTTTTTTAAAGTGGTTTTAGATTGGCTCAATTCAAGCTTTAATGAAACAGTTGGGACCTTAACAACATTGTAGGCTATGCCTACAGTGACCATATTTATTTTGGGAAAATAAAAGACATATCAAAGAAAATAAAAAAATATCTTATAAAATTCATAAGTTTATAACATTTATTATGAAAATAGTAGCATACAACAATGCATACATTAAAATTTTAAAGAATATGAATTATTACACATACACACACATTGTAAAAATTTAAATAACATTAATTTTGATACTTTTCAGTAGAATTAATTTTTTTTTTAATAGTGCCGGTTCACACTTTAAAAAGTCATAAAATTCCATACAGTTCATTTGAAAGTTGTATTTGACGGAAATACATGCTTCTAATGTGCTTATTTTTAAATGGGTTTTTTCATTCGTCCACATATTATTCACCAATGAAAATATTCGTTTGACGGGAGCATTAGATCCAGGGAGACATAAAGAAAATTCTATGATTTTACAAATGTTTTTGAAAGCAATTTCTTTTGCTGTAAAATGTTCAAAAATCTCAACCCCAGCTTTGATGGTTGGACTTGTTATTCTGTTGCCATTCGTCAATCTTTTCGTTTGTGACGTATTTTTTTACACATGAAACTTCATCAAATAAGTCACCGCTGAGTATATTTATGGACCAATGATTCAAAATAAAAATATAGCTTTCCTCTACCTTTGCCCACAAAGGGATTTTGCTTAATGTGACCCATTCAAACACCTCTATTTCAATACATATGTCTCAATTATTTAGATCAGTGTTTTTCAACCTGTGGGTCGCGACCCCCTGGGGGTCACGACCCACAGGCTTTGCGACCCCCTTGGGGTCGCAAAGCCTTACACGGGAGGTCACAGGCACAAGAAAAAGACAAGTGTTTGTAGGTTCTACACTACATTAAAAAAACTACAATTTCATTAAGAATTATGGCCCACCCCAGAAAATGATAGCAGAAAAAGCATTGAGCTGATTTCCAAAAGGAAATAAAAAGCAGAAAAGTAGTAGTTGAAAATTGAGATCCCAAAAAAAAAAAAAAAAAAAAAAAAAAAAAAAAAAAAAAAAAAAAAAAAANAAAAGGAAATAAAAAGCAGAAAAGTAGAAGCTGAAAATTGAGAGCCAAAAAAAAAAAAAAATACCGTTGGTGAACAGTTCCATGTGCCTAATGTTACAATTAAAGGAAGTTTCATACTTTATGTGTGTTAAATTATTGTCGATTCTGCTTGAAACTTTCATTTTAATCAACAATAATTTGTCTCAACAGAAAGAAAATTAAATACATAGTTTTTAAAATCACTGATATAGTTTTAATATGGCCCTAGGGGGGTCGCCAGAATTTTTTAACTTGTAAAGGGGTCGCGTATTCAAGAAGGTTGAAAAACACTGATTTAGATAATGTATGCATGTTTCATAAAATGTGTACACAGCATTATTGAATTTTTTGGCTTGTATATTTTCTGATTTTTCTAACGCTAAAATCACTTTTCTAATAATAATAGGAAGAAACCCTTCATTTTTTCTTTCAACTAACTTTAGCTTTAATTCCTTTAGAAGTATAGATGTTTCGCACATTGAGATTTCTTGCGATTCAACTTCCAATATATATTGGTGAAATATTGAGGCTTGGTTATGAATAAATAATAACCATTCCTCTGCTAATGTTTCGTTGAAAAAGTTTTTCAGAATTGTGGAACATTTTTCCAGATTCAAAAAGTATGATTTTAATGGATTAAATAGTTGTAAAATTCTATCTAAAGCTGGTAAAAGAGTTAACCAGTGTGTTTTGCTCTAACCAAGAAGCTTTTTATATTGAACCTCTGTGTCATCACAAAATTCTTTGAAATCTTTTACTCGTATTGTGTAAATATAAAAATGTGAATAAATTTTTACTAATATCACTTCAATATCTATCAGAAGACAATCTACAGCAGTGCTTATGCAATTGTTCAATATGTGGGCAGCACAATTAACTCCTATCAATTTATGTTTACTTGATCATTTTAAATAAAACATTATTCTTTCTTTTTCTATGGGAACCACCAAAATTGCTGTTGGTATTGTCAGCACACAAAGCGAGTAATTTATTAGTAATTTCACATTTTGACAGTGATTCCTTGATGCAATTTGTTAATATATCTGAAGTTTCTCCAGACAGATTATTTATATTCAAAACTTTTATTCTGACTCTGCAATTGGGTAAAAAATATCTGACCAGAATTGTGCACAAATTAGTATTACCATGTTTCTAAAAATTTGAATAAATAGTTATATACAGGTAACCCCTGTATAACACGGGAGTTACGTTCCAAAAAATTGCCATGTTATGCGAATCTGTGTTATACGAAATAAAAAACTAGTGCGAAAAGGGTGGTTAGGTTCCAAAAATTAAAAAACATGTTGTTAAATCCTTATTTAAATCGGATTTATTATTCATTTTTTTCATAGGTAAAATACTTATTTATTGTTTAAGTAAATATTTTACCAGAGGATTATTCATCCTATATGATGATCTCAGCATGAGCATCATCAACTGGTAACAGTTTTTGGGTGCATTCGTTAATAGTGGTCGCTCTGCAACTGGAGTGCGCTGCTGTTTATAGGCATTTAGGAACAACGATGAAAGAAAGATGGCAGTTCCCGCACTATCAATAGTATCATGATGGAGGAATCTATAATTCTAAAATGAGATTTTAGAGGCAAAAGAAGGGTCCCAATTGTAAAATTTAACCATTAAATGGTTTATTTGTTGAAAGAGCATTTAAAAAGTAGCCACGAAAACAACTAGAATGCTCGCGCGGAGGTATAAAAGAATGCATCCTTTATTACATTTTATATTGTACGAGGGTTTTACCAAATTCCCAAACTGTGTTAGACTAAACCTGTGCTAGAAAAGCACCGTGTTATATGGGAATGTTCCCAATTCTCAAACTGTTTTAGAGTGAATCCGTGCTATAGAAGTGCCGTGTTATACGGGGTTATCTGTAATTTGTTTTGCTTAAGTCAGTTTTAATTGATTCAAAAGAATATGATGCGAAAACATCACAAATGATTGCTTCTGTTTTCGTTCTTGCACAAGAATATTTTTCCTCAAAACATTTCTTAATTAATTTAGAAGAGCAGTCATTTGATTGAAATGAATAGTTATGTTGTATTGAATGATAACACCAAGATGCCTCTTTTAGTGCTAAAGCCTTTAGGTTGTCATTAGAATTTTTATTAACAAAAAATAAGTTTAATGATTTGTTTGTTGAAGCCTGGATGGTCGCTTCTTTGTGTTTTGCTGTCTGAATATGTTGTGTAATTGCTGATCTGCCACTATTCGCAATATTAAAGCTGGCTAAACAGTTGTTGCATTTGACATCACTATCTGTTATTTCTTTTTTAATAAATGGAAATTCTTCTTGTAATGTTTGATTAAAAATGCATTTTCTTTTCGGTGCCATGATAAATGGTCTAAAATATATCAATATAAATTAAATAATACCTAAATTTGAAAAATTACAAATAATAGACTAAAAACTCACATGCAGTCCCTGTGCAACTAATTAACATTGCATAAAAGTAGTGTACTAACTGATGCGAGGTCCACGTGTGTACTGTCCAGAGAAAAGGAGTGTACTATAAAGAGAAGGGATTTGTTTCACTCAACAGTAAAAATGTCACATGCCCGAGCCCCTGAAGATTACCGACAAGTGGCTCACCAATGCTCCAAGTGTATCATCCACCAATTAGAGAGTTAAAAAACTATCACAAAAATCCCCATAAGAGTTCGGTTGGCGACACACTGCACTACCGCACTTTATGTAGCAATGCACGACACAATGACAACACCGGTCATGATGGCATACATGAAACTAACTTGTTCAATATATTATTAAAAAAAAAATTTTAAACTTTGCATCAACTTTACAAAATAAAGGATAAAATGCCTATTTTAGAAAATAAATAAAGTTAAAGGACAGAGCAGTGAAATAAAGGACATATGGTCACTGTAGCTATGCCCAAAGGATTAAAATAATCAGAGTCTATATGAAGCCCTTTGCAAAATACAGTCCCTGAAATCTGTTGTTTGACTGCAGATGTTAGAAGACAGATAATTAATTGAACAACTCATAAATGGGTAAAATTTAAAAGTGAAACTTCTTAACAAAACAATTTGCTAGAATTAGAGAGAAAATGAACAGAAAACTTTCATGATGAGATTATCCTAACAGAGATTTCTGTGAATTCTTTAAAGGATTATTTATATGTTTAATAGATTACATTTATTACAAAATTTATTGATTAATATAATAATTTGACTTTATGAGAAGAGAGATATCAAGTTTATTCGTACATATATCATATGTGGACTATTGGTTCCTTTGACTTGTTTACTTCTTTGAGCATGGTCTATGACTGATAAGGATCTAACTGCCTCATTCAGAGCTGTATTGGTACTGTTATGGTTTAAATTTGATATTTTTTTTTGTCAGATAAGATAGACAGTTCTTTGACAGTTTTATCTCACATAAAACCCTTATAATAAAATATATTCCATGTCTGTTGGATATTTAAAAATCTATAGTAAAATGAGAAAATGTTGGTCAGACTGTTGTATGGTTTTTCATTTTGTGTTACATGGTAAATCTGAGTTTGAATTTGATCTTACTAATTAGCACTACTGCTATTTTTATAATTGTTAGGGGAAAAGAATTATACGAAACTAAAGCATGTGTCGATATAGCAAACTGTGTGTGAACTGGCAACATGTGCAAGACCACTAGAAACAAGAAATCTGTTGTTCAGTTGCATGCCAAGTTATAAATATGTGAAAAAGTGCATGTATAGCCTTAGATTAGAATAAAGTTTAATTCTAAGTTAAAGGACTGCCTCATCATTGTTCTAACAATAATAAATTTAATGATTAAAATTAATTTATTATAAAATAGTACTACCCATTTCTAATGTCAAATTATTTAATAAATAAATTGAAGTATAGTGTAAAAATAGTCCATAATTTTTAACTATGGTTTTATTATGTATACAGTTTGTTGTCATTCATATATTGACTGTTTCATATCAAACAATTAAAGTGAAAAAGTCTGTATTGTTATCAGTTTTAGGATATGGAAAATTATATGATATGATATTTGAATTCAGTCCAAGCTGTATATGTAATGAACAGAAAAATCAAACATTTGTTCATATTTGAAGCATTAATATCAGAATGGACCAAAACCAGTGCAAGGTAACTTAGGGTTTGTTTGGAAAAGCTTGCCAGTTCAGATATCATTCAGAAATGTTACCTATACACTTTATTGTAAAATTCAGTGCTGCTGAGCAGCATTGTTGCTTTTGTGTGAGAGAGTTGCATTCACTACTGAAAGTCTCTTAAAAATGCACATGGAGTAGCGATGCAGGCTCCAAAATGGTGATCAGTGCAGCTGTTGGAATGTTTTGCGAATTATTTAATTTGAAACATTTTAAAAGAAATTCATTTTTGTAATGCAATGCCATGTTTAGAGGATTAAATTAATGACAAGCAATTATTTATTGTGACATCTCCACAATGCTGGGTTTCAATTTCTAATCATATTTTTAATTAATTTAATTTAAAAGATATGCTCTCCACCTCAAATTAGTAGTGTCTTGTTCCTGTAAGTACTTTTTCTTTAACAATAGAGTCGTGCCAGTCATCTATCTTAACACCTTTCGGGGGGAAATTTTTTAATTCAAATAACGTGACTTCCAGTTTGTATTGGACATTTATATATAGTTAATTGGGGCCTCCTGCCTGTAAGGTTTCCATATATGGTCTCGTCTTTCATCTATCTAACTCCATTCTTGAGATTAAGGAAAGACAGACAGGACAGAAAGGAAACACTCTTGATGGGCAATAGTGGAAATTTCTAGGTCTACAATTGTTTCAAATTGCAACCCAGTTGCTACAAATAGAATATTGATTTATGGTGATCAAAATCTTATAACTTTACTGCCAAATTGTATAAAAATTCAACTTTGTACATTTCTACTGTGGAGGCAGTTATTTTTGTTGCAGCAAGAAAAGCAACTGAAACAAACACTGCAGATTTAACCTCTAATCAGTGAGATCACTGCACACAGTAATTCAAGAAAATGAATTTAGCAACACTCTTGATGGCATTGCTTAGAATTGCTGCAAGCAGTACTTAGTTTAACAACAACTCGATAAGGTTATCAGGTTAACAAATTTTGTTTTATTTTAAATATTCCTGAAAATATCAAATCATATTGCAAAAATATTAAAACTCAGTCTATTAGCAAATTACTTTTAGTTTTTCTTTACTTTAATATTATATATATTAATAAATATTTAACTAATTGTTTAATCATTTTTGGATGTTTAAGTAAAATAAATTATTGTATTTTATAAGATATTTTTTAAGCAAGGATAGGAAGAATTAAAGTTAACACAATAAAGAACTGATGTGGAAATTTTTATTCTATTAATAAACTAGGCCTAATCATTTTTAGTATTTGAATGTCCTGAGATTTTGTTTTGATATTTAAGTATACAGTGTCTTCATTACAGTTGCATGAAACAAAATGACATTTGGATACAATTTCTGTAATTACTCAGGATTTTTATATTTCTTCTTAAATGAAGTTAAGACTATTTACAAAAATATAAAATTTTTGAGTCTATCTTAATCCTTTTTTACACCACCCCAGAAGTAACAGTCAACATGGGTTTTTTCTTTTTGAAGAATATACTTCTTAAAAACAAAGGTAAATAAACAGTAAAAAACAATTCACAATGTTAAAAACGATCAAGTGTCAGCCTTCTGTTTTAGGATCTGACACTTTACATTAAAAAACATGAAGAATTCTTCTCACCACATTGTCCTTATCTATTTTTCACTGCTTCAGGCCCTCTGGTGGTAGTTACGAGTTATCCTTACTTAATTTGCATATGGATACAATTTCTGTAATTACTCAGGATTCTGTTGACTGTTACTTCTGGGGTGGTGTAAAAAAGGATTAAGATAGACTCAAAAATTTTATATTTTTGTAAATAGTCTTAACTTCATTTAAGAAGAAAAATGACATTTGTTTGATGCTCGAATTATGCCTTGCAAGGTATTGTAAACAAATTGAAAAAATTTAACTAGAGATTTCCTTGTATACTTAGGTGTGTGTCTAATCAATCATAATCTAGATTCATATTATTTGATACTTTAAGTATTTAGTAAACAAAAATATCAGTAAAAATATTGCCATCAGATAGCATTAACCCATATTAGAACATAAATTGCTTGATATACTTTATTTGTTTATATTGCATTGGTAAATGCTACAAATGTGAGATAATAGATGCAAGAATTTGAATCTGGTGTGACATTTTATCATTCTTTCTGATTTGACAGATTAAACATTTCAAAATTTTAGAAAGTGAATTGAAGATTGTATTTCAAATATAATTTCTTTATTATAAAGAAATTTTGCTTGATTACATTTCTTAAAAAAACATATTTTTGCTCTGATGATAACATATTTCTGAAATTTTGTATACATATTTCAGATTGGTATAGCAATATACAAGTTGTTTCACAAATCTTAGCAATGATGATTTTTAAATCACATTTGACTTGTTCAAAGTTTAGGAGCATCATCTTCATACATATTACAAATTTCTTTTTACTATTTGTTTATTGTTTTATCCTTTATGAAACTTATAAAGCATAAAATGCCTGATATGCTTTTTATCTGATAACTTAATATATAATCAAACACACCAAAAATAAAGTGAGAAAAAGCACTGAAAAACATACAAGCGTAACATGAAAGCAAGAGAGGACTTGCACACACAGCAGATTGCATTTACACTTTAAGTGCATTCTTTTCATTGTATGTACAATTTGAACTTTGAAGCATTGCTTGAACTCCAAAGTAAATTTTTGTGAAATTTAGCATTCAAACTCTGAAGTAGTGTTTAAACTTCAAAGTACAATGTACCACTGTACTTAGTTTAATGAATATTTAATAAAAACTCATTATATTTTGAAATCATTTACTGATTATTGTTATGGAAGTTTTGGCATGGTCCTGAATTTCATCACTTAATTAATATTTTATAAAATTTGTTTCATATAATTTATATAGTTTGTTATTTTGATATAGGCATGGATGGCGGAACAGAGAACTGAAAATGAAAAAAAGAAACAGGATGAGTTAAGGGTGCAATATGAAAAAGAACAAGATTTGTATAATAACAAGTATGTTACTGTTTATTTTTTAGAATTATTTTAACAATAATAATAGTGATGATCATAACATTTAAATATTTGTTATTTAGTTTCATGTCATAAAAAAAATTAAAATTCCAAAATAAATTTATTGTCAATTTTATCATTAGACTAAACAAATCTTTATTAAGCTTTTCTTACCTTAGAGAGCTTGTATTTAATTTATTTTTTTCAATTTCCTTAAACATAATATAATTTATTATTATTTTTTTTTTTTATAATCTGTCTGGCAAAGGGCAAAAGGTGGGGATTTATTGGGAGATAATGAGTTGTGTGGAATGAAATGCACAATATATAAAATTAGAATCCATGTTGTGCTTTTATCACAACAGTGTTGGTATCCTTGAGATGTACTGGAAAGCTCCAAAGTACTAGTGTTTACATTGAACTTTTCATTTTGATCTTCAAAAAAGCAAACAACCAGGCATATCTTTGAGTTTATTTATATTAGAAGATTATTATAAATAAACATCTTTAGCTTTCTAAGTGATCATGATTAACTGGTTAGAAAATTGAATTAAGGTAAGATTTCAGACTGAGCTTTTCAAACAACTGTAAGAGGAGAAAGGATACAAAACTAAAATCCTTTATTACTATCAAAAATTTGAATATCTGGACTTTTGCCTATCTTTTAATAGTTCTTTTTTCCTAGGCTCTAATCACTTGGTGCAAACTTTATTTTGCTGATTGGTAAATGGGCATTATGGATTTCTAAATATTCAATTGGCTAAATGTCAAATGAAACTGAGAGACAAATGTCCGGAGATGGGAGTCTTTTGTCAGAATTTTGTTTTTATTTTGAGCTTTAACATTAGTTATTCTTGTTCTTTGTCTACTTCATTACCTTTAAACCTGAACAGCATCCTTTCTCTTTTTCCACTAACAGGTGTGTATAAGTTACTGACCACAAAAACTAAATTATTGTACATGTATGACTCTATCATATGTGTTCTCTCCCCTTATAATATTATAGAATGTTGCTACCTCTATCCTCTTACCAGTATAATTCTCACAGTTCCACCTATGTGAATGTAGACCAGGGGTCGCCAAATTTTTTTAACCGTCGACCCCCAATCACTTTCCAAAGCCTCACATTGACCCCCTCCACTGTAAAGTTTTATTACAAGTGTATATGTATGAGCAAAGAATAATAAAAAAAAAAAAACGTTGTGGGTTGTGGTCTCTGCCTAAGCAAAGAAAAAAAAAAAAAAGGTTGTGACCCCTTAGCCGCATCGACCCGCCAATGATGGTGCATCGACCCCTGGGGGTCCATATTGACCACTTTGTCGACCCCTGATGTAGACATTGGACATAAAACTGACTGGTGTTATGTTCTTATGACTTTTTTATGTTAAGATCAACTGTTAATCCTCACGTGTAATCACTGATTTTCATATTAACAATAAATTAGTTTCTGACATGTGATCATTATCATAATGATGATATTTTAATTGCACATATATAAAATGTTTGACAGAAATTATAGTAAACAGAAAGTTATCATTATAAATAGTGGCTGACATTTATGTTAAATTATAAATTTTTAAAAATTCTAAACACATTACAAGAGGACTTATATCTGGTTGTTTGTGATGAATCACATTGTAACAGTCAATGCAAAATTATATCAGTTCTGCTATTTCAAATTGTACTGTTGCTGAATAATATGATATGATTAAATTTTCCAATCAGAAAGAATCAAACCTCATATTCACAGAAGATTATTATTAAAATATTGAGAACTGATTAGTTAACAAATAGAAGCCAAGCAGAAGTTTCACATTGAAAATTCTTAAGACAATCACATGGATTGTGATGACTTATGAATGTGAGTCTTAGCTGTCACAAAAGAAATAGAAAACAATAAACTGTGATGCCTAAGAAAGATGGACAGGATTAGCTAGACAGAGAGAATCACAAACAAGGAAGTACTTAAAAGATTTAATTTAGGAAAACATTTAATGACTAGCATTAAGCAAAGAAAATATGCATTTGTTGGACTTTGGCTAGGGGATCTTCAGGACAATTAAAGAAGACAGTGATAGAGGAAATGGTCGAGGGAAATGGGCCGAGAGGAAGAAATGCAGAGATAACATCAAGTACTGGTTGGAAACTAACCCGAGGAATGTTCATAACAGGGAAAGATGGAAAGAAATGATTTGTCTGCTGCAACTCTCTAAGACGAGGATTCCACAAGAATAGAATAGAATTTTGTACATAGTAATTTAAATATAATTTAATTTTATAAAGTAAAAAATATATATACAGAATGTAAAAAAGTGAATTTACTTTATAATTTTGCATTCAATAGCAATTTACTTGTATGCTATAAATATGTATTAAATAGCTGAAAATTTGAACTCAACAAAGTTAATTATAACATATAATATATTAATCATTCATTACATTTATAATAACTTTACTACAGATTCATATTAACAGTTTTATTAATTTTGTCTTTTACATTTTTGTTTAAAATATATTGTAATTAATAAATTTAGAAAATAATTCATAAAAATTATTTATAATTTCAGAGCTCTTCTAAGCAACGAAAGCAAAGATAAACTTGCTCTCAATTTTATGTATGAAGCTCCACCTGGTGCAAAAAGAGGTAATTTAATATTTCTTGTAATTTTTTGAAATCAATGAGAAGATCTATACACAAATTTGAGTTTGAAAGTTTCAAAAGCACATGATTGGTAAAAACAAGTTATGACAACAGATTATGTACAAATGCAATTTCTTTTTCACATTTTGCTTTATTTGATTGATTTCAGTAATGTCAAAATAATACAGCATTGCCAAAAAGTAAGCAAAACTTAGTGAATTGTGTAATGAAATTATTTTAAGAGAATAAAAACAAGAAATTAATTGAAGTTTTTGACTATTTACAAAAATATAAAATTTTTGTAAATAGTCAAAAACTTCAATTATGAAGAATATATCCTGAGTTATTACAGAAATTGTATTAATAGGAAATTAATGTTTAAGAAGTTCATTGGTGACATTTACTTTTATTGGGAATATTTTGGAAAATTTATCATTGTTTCTAATTTTAAAGTGGAAATGAATAAGTGTCTTATGAGACATCAGTGATCATTTCTCCAACAAATTAGGTAAATGTATTTAAAAAATTTTATAATAAATACATTAATTTAATAAAACATGCAGTTTTGTTTGCATACAGTTCTGGAGTAAATTCTCAAAATGTAATAAAACAGCAATTACTAGGTCTAAATATACTAGATAGATAATTTTTAAAATATCTGAAAGAGTTATATTGCAATAAAAATGCCCATGAGAATATTACTTTATTTAAGGACTTGTTACACTAAGTCTTGAAATAAAGTAAGGTTCTTGTAGACATTTTTATAATATTTATACAATAAGGACAAGAAGCAGTTATATTGCAATATTTTAAAATATGAGAAATTTTCAATCTAAATGAACCCACTGATATTGTGATACTGTACAGTGAAGAACTAAAACATATAGTAAATTTAATCAGTTTACAAATGTTGGGAATGATGAAAAAAGATTAAATTATTGAATTTCTAATACTCTAATTTGATTGTTGAATTTTTGTTTATTTATTTTTTTAAAAATGATTTTAGTATCAATTGCTTTATTTCATTAGTGAAGACATCCTTGCAACTGAGTTTTGAAAGCCATAATTTTAAATATAAAGAAAAGTAAATCAGTCACTTTATTTAATTTTGTTGCAGACAGAAATCTATATTTTATTTATTGTTATGTTTTGATATCAGTATATTAAAAGTTATAGGATTCCTTAGTATAGCAAAACTTCATTAAAATTGTTAATATTACTATCAGATTAACATAAAATGATTATTATTTAGTCAGTTTGTACATGCTTTAATCTGTCAGAGATTTTTATGATATAACAATTTAATATGATTCTGTTCTTAAATTATAGTTATCAATAATTGTATATTACAGTAATATCTACATCATGCAGTTGTGCTGGTGGAACAATACTTGCTTCTTGCAAACATGTATGGTATTTACATTTTCATATACTTTAGAAAAATATAGCTGGCTGAAGGTATATTCTTCACTAACTCTGGTATCAACCAAAGTTCCACATAACTCCTAAAAATATAGCAACATTTTTTAAAAACATTCTAAATAAATCAAATAAAACTTTATTTTATTTGCCTTTCTTCTATTTTAAGAGAGCCAAAAATTGTCTTTAGCATTATCTGCACTTAGTGGAAGCAAATGCTATTTTTATTTACCAGTATTTTATCTTTGGAGAAAGTTTTATATTTGAATCAAACATTGAAATGTGATATTAAAAACTTATGGAGCTTAACACAGATAGAATTTACCATATGAGAAGAAAAGATGTATAGATTGTAATCATCAGATATGATATTCATGGTACAGTTAGAAATTACAGTACTTTAGCAAAAAGAGTATAATTTCCATTTTGAAGAATAAAATTCCAGCAGTGTTACATAGAAGTATTTGGTTTGAATCAATAGCAACAAAATTTGTAAGAATGGAATACAATGTTGCTGTAATAAAAAAGCAAAATGGAAGCTTATGCAAATTTCAAATTTCTTCTATCCGTATTTAACAACCTTTCCAGATAACCTTTGCTATGCTAATGATTTAATTAGTATAATAAAAAGAAATAAAATGTACTTTTAATCCTGAACAATTAGATTTAGATAAACTTGGTAGAAAAAACAAACATGTATTGAAAAAATTTTCCCACAACAAATGGATGTTTATAGAATCATTGTTTATTTTATAAGCTTCCAAATATTGGATATTCAGAAGTTATAGTTTAATACAGAGTTGTAGAAAATATTAAAAACTTACTTTTAAATTTATCACTTAAATCCGGAAAAGAAGTTTTTGTTTGGCCTGATTAATTAGATTTAAATGAGTCTCAAAACAAAAACAGTTTGATCTGTTTTCTATGTTTGTTTATTTTTTCAATGTATTCTTCTCATAGTATTTATGGTTCACATTTTTAGAAAACATAGTTATGAAAACAAGACTATTTTGGACACAACAAATTTTGACAGTTTTTTGTTTTTATGATTTCAGAAAATGTAAACTATAAATACTATGAAAAGAATAATAAAAAAATAGATCAAACTGTTTTTGTTTTGAGACTCGTCTTGAAAAGGGATCATTGTTCCTACAGTGTTCCTACGGTGTAAGTTGTTCTCTTTTTCTTTGATGTTCTTTTTCATGAAATTTAAATTTAATTGGAACTACATAAGGCCTAAATAATCTCTTCGTGAAATTCTGATATGTAAAATATTTTTCGAAATATCTCAAACAAATGTACATGCAGTTTTTAGGTTTGAAGTTCTCACATTTTAACTTTATCAGCCATTCATTAATTTTAGATTTGAATATAAGTGTAAATATATTCCATTTTTTAACTTGACACTTTCATGATGTGATTGATATAATCAAGTATCATAACATGAATTTGGTATCATTTTCTTTTACAAAGCCAAACTATTTGATTGTTTTCATCAGATTATGTGAGTACAGTAGAGCATCAATTATCTGAATACTGATCAATCAAAACATCGGTTAACCAAAAGCGTTCTAGTCAGAAAATTCAAATGCTGTGGCACTGCAATATTTGGCTATGTCTTGGGCTACTCCAGTATTATTTTTGTTGGTGTGCATGTTTTAGCTGGCAGCACTGGTGCAACCATGAGAGGGTACTTAAGGACACGCCAGTATTTAAATGAGGCTTTTTTTTACATTGTGAGTGGTGAGTTTTACTTGTTTTGTGTAGTGTTTTTCTGAGGACTGTGTGTCAGGACATGTGTCAGGCTGAATCAGAATGTTTTTGATACTAGATTAACTTCCGAAATATAATTTTTTTTGTTTTTATATTTTTCAATATATTTATTTTGTTTGTGCAAAATAAAGAAATAATTTTTAACGATACAATAGCCATGATTATTATTTTTAAAAAGTTTTTGTTAGGCTTAACATTGATGAAAATTCAATGCGAGGTGAAACACAATGGAGAAAAATTTCAGGATAGGTTAATATATTTTTTCGTACATGATCAGTTATTCAAACAACCCCAGTCTCGAATTGTTTTGGATAATTGATGCTCTACTGTATGTTGTCTTCTGTATAGATCTCATTTATTCTTATTAAATTTTAGTTATTTTTCTTATAATCAGATTATTTTTATTACTTGAAAATTGTTAAAAGTTTAAAGTAATGATTAATATACTTTTAGAAATTCTGCTATACTTTTCAGATTCATAATTATTTTATATAGTTAAACCACTTCCTTGATTTAACAATAATGAAAAACGTATTCAGGATGTTGTTCAAGATTTTAAAAAATTTTCTTTAATTATTTTAAAACAATTTTATAAAATTTTATTAATTTTAGTATTTGTTTTATTTTTAAATAATTTTATTACAAATATCTTGAACATTTGCTGGATTTAGTGATTTTCTTTCTTTCTTTCTTTTTTTTTTTTTTTTGTCTATTTTAAAATGGTAGGAACAAGTTTTTTAAAAACAAATTTGTTAAATAGTTGATATTGCAAATGGCTGCATTATGAAAATATAATCAATAATAAGTTTACAAAAGGAAAACAATTTTATATTTTTGTGTTTCCAGTTTTGATTAATCCGGGTTGATGGATAAATAAGGTTTCTTACTGCAACATCCCACAAAGTATAAGGATAATAATGTGTGACCACTGCCACTATTTAGTAACCACAAATATATAGTCTTTATGTGTGCGATATGTTTGTTGTGTGAAATTATTGCGTAACAGTCAGGTAAACATGAACTTGTTTTCCTCATTCCATACAAAACAGTGATCAGTGATTGAATTTTTAGTGTTGGAATGTTAATGCAAAGACAAACAGTCAATTCAGGCAAATATTCTGAAATTTTAAGAACTCAAGAAATGTATTTTCAGAGTAAAATCAGAGAGTACCATTTTTTTATTGTAACAAGATCATATATGACCACACTGCATGTTAGGAAATGGAAAGATGCTTAAGAATCTAGTTATCAGTTATTCTGTACTCTCCTTGCAATCCAGATATGACACCAATAGACTTCTGATTGTTCCCAAAGTTCAAGTAGGTCAAACTGCCTTTTATTAAGCTAAAGGAATTTTTTATCAGACCCTGAAATTAAAACTCCCATAGGGAATGGAGATCAAGAAAAAACTAAAAAGTTTTTCATACAAAAACAAACTGAACATTTGGAAAAATGTATAATGAACATACATTTGAAACAAGTGATTTTTTTCTGCTTTTTGAAACTGGCCACATTGTTCTAACTAATTATAGTAAAGTGGAAACCATATTTATCAGTCAACTTTTTGAAATTGAAATATCCTCTTATAATATTTTCATTATATAAAACTGGCTAACATATTATATAATGTTACTAAATAATATACTAGATTTTATATTATCATTTTATGTTCAATTTTTAAAACATTTAAATATAATTTATAGTATTTTTTCATAATGGAAATATTAATATGCATTTTTTTCTCCCCTGTATAATGTTGAACTTGGATATCTTCAGAACGCCAAGTAAGTTGAATTATTATATTTCACTTTTATTATACATTCACATTGTTATATCTTACTTCTTATTAATAGGAAATGAAATATATATAGCAATATTAATAATTCTTGAATTGGTTATTGACAAGAGTATGTCTTGTTTATAAAATCGTACTGCCTCATGTTCTTATCAGCATAGAGGTATGAAGGAGTATATGTAGAGAGTTGATATTTGGCACAGAGTATTAGGTGCCCAAATCATTTGCACATAAAAAAATCCAGACTCTTAGGTAGTCGGGACTGAGAATCAAATCAAAATAAAATCCAAAATGGCGATCCTCTTCTACAAACAGGCAAAACAGCCACCTCACCCCACCAAAGTCAGGCAGGGGAGAAGTACCACCCGCAGTCATTCTAAGAAGTGAACTCTGACCTTAGGATTGAGGGCACCTGCATATGAAATTTGCCCTTTGACCTCACTTTGCTCCTAAACTCTAATGAGGAGAGACATCTTTTTACTACCTTTCGATTTGACATCTGTGCCGATTTTGGATTTATATTATATATTGACGCTGTTGTAAATATCACTCTGCTGATACAAATTAAGTAAATTATCAGTTTTTTAGTAAATTTTTAATGACAAAACAAAAGACACAGAACACGTGGTCGAGGTCAAAGTGGACATCAGGGACAAGGTAGGAGAGTAGGAGAGACATTTTTTACTTCACATTAATTGACCTTTTGAGTCGACAGCCGTGCAATCTTGGATTTATATTATATATTGATGCTATTGTAAATAATGTGCTGCCGATACAAATTAAGTAAATTATCAGTTTCTTAGTAAATTTTTACTGACAGAACATTCACCGAAAATGGCTCGTGGACAACCTCATGGTCGAGGCAGGCGAAGTTTTAATGATCGCACCCAAAAGCAGTGATATCAAAGAAGATAGGAGAATGAGAACGAGACCTGCCTTAAGCATCAAAGTGATTCTGTCTCCGAGACATAGTCTTGTCCCAAATACAGTTTTGCTGTTTTACTTGTTTAAGTATGCAATAAGAAGTTAAATAATTGTTTAGAATTTTCAGAAATTTTATTTATATAATTTTGGGATTATTTAAAACAAAAATTGCTTACTGAAGCAAAACTGAAAATTTTATAAATTAAACATGATCTATGTAAAAACTAAACCTGATCTATGTAAAAACTACGTAATATAAATTAAACCTGATCTATGTAAAAACTACGTAATGTATCAGTTACTATGAATATATAAAAGTTAAAGTTCAGGAGTCTACAACCTATGGCTTGTGGTCAAATATTGAAACATATTCAATTGGCTTGTGTAGCTTATTTTCACTGACATGTTTTGTCATCAGAATTTTAACTAGCTCAAAGCAAATACACTTTTTAAAGCCAACTTGAATTAATAGATTTTGCTGCAAATGATTTTTATAAAAAACCTATTTAAAGAAGAGAATTTTTTACCGTTTTATAAATCTCTGTCAGAATAGACTTTAAAAAGTTTGCATAGGGTATATTTTCTGTTCTTGCTTCTATATACCTTTATGAACAAATCTTTTCAAAAATTAAATATATGAAATAAAACTATCAAACATCACTATCCAGTGAATATCTAAAGAAGATTTTAATACTGGATGCCACAAAATTTATCTCCAATTTTGATGACTTTTTTTGAAATAGTAGTAGTAAATTTTACATAATCTTTCTCCATTGTTTATTCAGAAATAAAAAATATTTTAATCTTTGACTATATCTTTCTTATTTAGTTCCCAAATGTCTTTTAAAATTCAAATGGTCATTCTCAAGATTAGAGACTCCATTTATAGTTGAAAATATGACAGCAATTATTAAAAAAATTGCAAGTACTTTAATAACTAGAATTATTCATCATGTTTTGTTAAGCTATTTTATTTCCAATAACAAGATAAAGGTAAAAAGTAGGAAAATAATATAATTCTTCATAATTAATATTATATTAATTATGAGGAATTGATTTTTATAGAAGTATAAATAAATAGTTATACTAAAGTTATTAAAAAGTTATTTAGTGTAACTAGCCAATGTTATATATACTTGTAGGACAAAACATTATTCTCTAAAAATACAAACAAGTCAAAGTTCACACCAAGATGCAAAATTCTTGGAAAAATGAAGTTTCAAATTTGTGTAGATGATCTCTTTTGTATCTCAAATAAACACTTTTGGATATGGAATATTTTCTTTACAATGCATGAAAGAATCAATTTATTAGTAAAAGTTTTGATTGATTAATGTGAAAGTTTAATATCTGAGAAATGTAATATAACAATCCAAAACTTTTTTGTTTCTTTATTATAAAAAAAGCTTGGATTAACAAGAATCTAACCACTATTTTTAGATAGTCAAAATATTCTTTATTTAGAAATGCTTTTAGTCAATCAAATGGCCATCTTTGGTTATACGACAAATACAAAACAATGATGTAGAATCTTGATTTGAATTCAAAATTGATTCATTAAGTTCTCTCTATTATTACATACAAAAATTCTTTTATTTTAGATTATATTATGAATTTTAGAAAATAATATCTGTTTAAGTATTTATTTTATTCTTTTTTAATATAAAATAATAATAATAATAATGAATAAGATGTTTAAATGTTGTTCAAACAAATTCAAATTCATAATTCTTTGATATAAATTTAAATGAATTTTAATATTAAATTTATCAAATATTACAGAAAGAGGATGATGAGCCAGAATATAAATTTGACTGGCAAAGAAAGTATAATGCACCCAGAGAGGAGTAAGTATTTATAATTTAAAATTTTGGAATTTATTTTGAACTTAAAACAGATTATTATCACATTAATTACTAACCAATGTGATAGTTTTAGCTCAGGCATGGCCAACATACGGCCCATCTAATGAATTTATGCGGCTTCTGATTAATCTTTCAATATTAGTTACTCAAGTCTGAATAGCTTGATGAAAAATTCTGACGCCTAACAAAAAAAAAAAAAAATCAACAACTCACTGTGTGTTTAGAGTTAACCTGCAATTATAAATCTCTTGAACAGCATAGAATGTTGATAAAGCATGATAATGTGAAAAATGTATCTGTAATCTCTATGTACAATTTAGTCTCTACGGGGTGACACCACAATGAGATCTCGCACCACCTCAAAATTTTCTAGGGCAGCCTCTGGTTCGGCCTGTGGAAAAAGTTTTCTTTCCAATTTGGCCCGGGGGCAAAACTGTTGGCCACCCCTGGGTTAGCTAGACTAATTACCTCACCTTTAACAATAGAATTTTTAGAAGAACACTGACATTTTTGACCTCATTCATGGGCCATTCTCAGACATCGGAAGTCAAAAGTGGAGTGCAATGTCAATGTGTTGGAAGGACAAAGGGATAGATTTAGGTAAAGTAAACAAGTGGGGAAGGCTGGTTACAATGGTGGTGGTTGATGTGACAAAGTGAGGAGATAATGGCAGGCTTGGGGAAGGGAGTCCTTGTCTCTTCTGCTTATGCATTTGTTGGTAAAGGACTGATTGTAAATTTTGCACTCCTCCAAGATACTGGTGTGGGAATGGTGAGAGGTGGTTCATATGATTTTGACCACTTGTCAATCTCTCTCTATGCCAGGAAGTTGTGCATAAGAAGACAAAACTGTTACTGGCCCTCTTCTTTTAATGACATCTTTGTATGCAGTGAGCCTATGAGAGTGACCTATTAACCATATTGAAAATATTAGTGGTCTAAACCTTCCCCTTAAAAATACAGTAATTACTCAAACTTAAAGCATGTTTACAATGATAACTAATACAGGTATCCCTCATACAACACAGTTTTCCTCTAACATTGTTTGAAAATTGGGGATATCCCCATACAACAAGACTTCCAGTTTCACTCACATGAAATCCTCTGTACAAAATTTCACAATTTTTAAGTGTAAACTTCATTATTCGGTATTTTTTTTAATTCAAGTAAGCACACATGTTATCTGAAATTTACCCACAGTATTTAAATATTGAAATTTTGAAATTATTTTGTGCTTTTCGTCAAGTTTACTTTAATAAAAACTGATATGACAAGGAAGGAAAAATTGCACTAATTTTCCTATCAACCAGGTGCTGTTATCATCATTGCTTTCAGACTTTAGCCCTTAAGACTGTCACTGTGTTTTGTTTTTATAGATTAATCTTTATATATGGTAAAGTTTATTTAAATATTTCAGGTAAATGTTGTTAAACTTTTTTTTAGCAATTGTTTGTAAAATGATGAACGAAATATGGCAGTATCTTGGTACTTGAACGATTTGGTATTCAAACACAAATTCTGGTAAAGAAAGTTGCTCAGTGCTTGACTGAACAAACATGATCTGCTAGAGCAAATTTTTGATTAATAACATATTTTTATTTAGTTATCCATAAAAATAAAAAATATGAAAATGTTGCTGATACTTCTGATTAAGATCAACGAAATAGCTGAGATGATGATGATACTTTGTAAAAAGAAAACACCCTTGTTTAACTTAAATGAAAATTAATGCATAATACAGTACTTTCACTAGTGATTGCTAGTTAATTATTGATTAGTAATAAATTATTAATGCTTTAATAAACATATTTTTCCTAGAAAAAAAAATAGTATACTTTTGCTAACTTCTGGAATTGACCCTATGATTTTCATTAGTCCTTTGTTTCATATAGCAGGGATTTGCATAACACAGCACTTTTTCAAAACATAACTACCATGTTATATGAGGGATACCTGTATGATATTAATGTGGCTCTGTAGTAATTAAATTTTTTAAAATTAGGTTACATTATGAACAGATTAGTTTGATAATACAGTAAATAAATTTAATTTTTATTACTTTAAAGTTTGTTTTGAAATTGATTTTATAAGTGAAAATTTACACAATTTCTTGGAAAAATTTTTCATTATCAATATCAATTGAAAAATATAATTGAAAAGATTTCAAGACAGTCTCAGAAACATGAGACAAAAAGTTACTTATTGTTTCATTTATTTAGTTTAGTAGAAAAAAAATTTGTATTTTTCTTATACATAACATCATTTGTGTGCTTGTTCTTTATACTTGATTTTGTTTTTATAACATTAGCCTTATATAAGTGTGTAATAATTACAAATTAAAGAACTTTTTATAATTGAAAGTCAATTTTATTTGTTTTAAGAACTCTTCAATATGCACTCAAATAGAATTGTTGAGTTACTGCAAAAGTCTTCATACAGCTTTGCCTCAGACAGCTAAATAAATGGTTTCAGTTGTCTGATTGTAAGAATATTACGGCTAAGTTTTTCCAGAAATATCTCCATTGTGTTGCCTCTGTTCCTTGGTCTGCTTGGTTCTTGGTCTTGGTCCAGATGGCATGCCAACCTCAGTCATTTTTGAGTATGAGCAATCTGAGGATTCTGAAGCTATACTTGTGTATCTGTTGCAGGATAGCATATGATGCCTGTAAGTCTCCATTGCATTTTTCCAGGCAAGAGGAGGTCCTACAAGGTACTAAAGATTTCTTTAAATTGAATCATGGTTGCACAGGAAATTGTCTCTTTGTTATGATATATAATTACTTATTATCATTGTTAGTACATCTACAACTTAATAAAGTTTCATTTGATTACAAAGCTTATTTCTTGATGCATAACTTTGTTGTTAATGAGTGTAGTTTTTATTTATATTCAATGAATTTAATTATATATATTTTAAAAGTCATCTCATCTTTATTATATTTATTAGTTTGATTTATAAAATATTTATATTTATGCAATAATTTTAATGGCCAGTAATTTTTCAAATTTGTTTGTAAAATTTAATAATCACTTCTTGCAAAGTTTACTTGGTCTATCTATGAAAGGATTATAGAGTAATTTAGAATGAAATTCATTTGCCATAGCTCTGATTTTATTTTATGATTATCAAGAATGCCTGTGAATTAAATGAATTGAACTAATTGGTAAATTAAATAATTTAAATAAAAACTGTACAAAAATAGAAAATTCAACTGTAAATTCATATCTCATTGAAGAGAAGCCATTTTATAAAGTCCTATCTTCTCAGATCTATTATATAAAAGTTATATAATTGTCAGGGTTTGGATATAATGGAGGGTAATGTCGAAGGTAACACAAAGAAAGTGGAGAGAACTAGAAAGCGATGTCCGTTAGACCACAGCACACATTCCAAACTAAACTAACCTGGGCCAGAGTACAATTCCCTTGACGAACATAACAGACCCCACACATAGCAGAGGGGAGGGCGCGACGATCACAAAGACAAAGGTCACATACACAACTTTCTAACAATAATAGACTACAGTTAATATAATTATAGACTACAGTTTTGACAATTTATATTATAAATTGTCAAAACTGTAGTCTATAATTATAATTAATTAAAAAAAAAAGTTTTATTTTAATGAATGTTTAAAAAGTAATTTTTTAATTCTTTCAGCTTTGCTAAAGACAATAAAGATATTAAAGATCAACCATTTGGAATTCCTGTAAGTATTAATCTGTTTATTAAAATAGATTATCTACACAATAAAGCAATGATTCCAATTAGTTTTCATAGTAGACCATTAAATATATTAATATTTTCAATACTAATAAAATTATCATTCTGTAATTTGAATATTTTAATTAATTTATATATACAGTAAACAGTATAGATTGAAACATTCTTTACAGTTAATGATATAATAAAAATATATTAATATCATTTTAATTTTTGTATAAATTCTCTTGTGAACTAGCAAAAGATTTTTTTCTTAATCATAAATCTCTAAAGTATTAATAGTAATTATACAATTACTAGAAATTTCTCTGTCAAGTATAACAGATTCTTTTTATGAGAAAGTAGAGATTGGAGAATTGAGAAGAGTAGAGATTTCAAGAAATTCAAGAAAAGTTGCTAATATTTCTATTTTCTCAAGTCTAATTTGACATGATGCTGTTTCTGCAGCCCTTGATAAAGCCTTTCTTACTTGGTTTTTCTCAAGATGAAGTTTGTGGTTTTCAGTGGTCTCAGTTGTTGCTATTCTTTTAGATCTAGAATTTACTTGACCAATTTTACTCTTAAGCTTTCCTCTAGGCATATTTTTTTTTAGAGGAGAGATAACACTTTCCAAATAATAGGCTTGTTAGATCATTACTTCCAATTGGATAATAGAACATCTTGTGTTCACTATGGAAAGATTTTTGTTAAAAATTTGTTATAGAAGTGACAGAATGTGGCTATCTTGTTTTAAAATTTAAATTTAATAAAGTTAATTGTTTAAAATATGCAATTTGCCAAAACATTTAAAAATGCAACTTAAGAGAGAGTCCCTTGTCAAGCATGAACTAAATGAGGTCACAGATGTCACTGAAACATAAAGTGGTCATTGATCAAAAATTGATAAAACATTTATTCTCTAGTTAATAATCAAAATAATATACAAAATAAGTAGCCTATACTTTCTGTCAGAACATAAAATGAATATAATCCGAATTTCGTCTTGATTGAACAAAAATTGCAGGAGTTAAGGAATTCACAAGATACACACACACACAGAAATTACCCCCAAATTTTTTTGCATTTCTTGATGTTTCAAGGTGTCCTAAGTCCAAAATTGTAAAAATCTTGGTGGTTATTTTTTTGACCAATTTCCATACTTTCCCTCTGTTATATATTACAGCCAGGAAAGTAAAAAAACAGAGTAAGGATTTATTTTTGTCTGAAATCCTAGGGAATTTTGACTACAAAGTACTGGTGGCATCTTACACTAGTAATTATTATATAAATCCAAAAACTACATTAAGCTTATTTTAGAAAGCAAATTAAGTTGATTTATTTATCCATCTTAGCTTAAAATTTACAATGTGAATGTAGGATGAGTCAAAATGTTTTTACATTAAAAAGTGATTAATGAAGTAACTGAAAATTTGGCTTTACAATACTTGTTAATAGAAATATAATTACTGTTTCCTACATCTGTTCTTTTAAGAAAAGAAATGCTATTTGTACATTGTAATAAAAAGTAATATACAGGAAGACCCCACTTAATACTGATTCAATATAACACGGTCTGCTTGATGCCTAGAAAACGTTCAAAATTTACACTGATTCAAATTAATGCAGTATTTCATTGATTTATATATAATACGATTATTCCCAAACATGAACCAGTCAGCAAAAGGTGGCAATTCGTCGTAGCACTGTACTTCCCTTAAATCTATGTTTGTTTTGTGCAATTTTGGAAAAAAATATAACATCATGGATGCCATAGGAAATAGTGACTTTGCTTGGCAAGAATTAACTGATAAATGCATGAACGGAGGAGTGTTGAAGTAGTTATAGCTGATGGTATCCAAGAATTTCCATCGAGAATAGCCTATCACTGTATTGTTAGGTTGACAAAATTATCAACTTAATTGATACAGGAGATGTAGAAATATTGGGGTTACTGCAGGTTTCTGGTAAGAGCCTTACCAACGATGACCTTCAAGAATGGGCAGAACAAGGAATTCATGTAGAGCTGGAAAATAGAGATTCTGAAGACGAAGAACCTAAAAAATTTCTCTACAGTTTTCCTTCGTAAAAGTTTGGGAACAATAACTGAAATTGTTGATCAAATTGTAGCGAACGATCCAGATTTTGATAGGAGTGCCAAAGCAAAACAAGATGCTTTGGATGCGATCTTCTGCTACCAACATTTGCTTAAGGAAAGAAAAAGAAAGTGACCAATGAAACTACATGACTTCATTGCAAAAAACAAGAATTTCAGAAGAGTCAGGAGCTTTGTCACAAAAAATTGACTTTACATTTCTGTGTGCATATGTTTGTGTTATTTAACATATATTATTATGCAAAAATTTATATAAAAATAACTTAAAATTATAGTAAAATGTGCTTATTTTTTGGTTGTGTGTTTCCCTACCCTACACTATGTTAAAATGGACTCGTTTAATGCTGTTTCGCTTAGCACTTTGTCGTCTAGGAACGCATCCCCCGCATTAAGCGGGGTCTTACTGTACTTTTAGTATGATTTCATTCTAAAAACAAATTTAAATTTCTGAATATTTTTATTACAGTGGGACATAAGTTTTATGCACTTTTGCTTTAACAACTTTTCAATAGTATTGATATTTTACAAATTCAATTATTTTATTTAAATAAAATTTTGAGTGATTCTTATTTTGGATATTACAGGTAAGAAATGTACGTTGTATTAAATGTCATCAGTGGGGTCACATCAACACTGATAAGGAATGCCCACTTTTTAATCAAGCTCACAATTCATCTGCAGGAACAAGTAAGATTAAAGTTTTGAATATGTTATGCCTATTTTAAAAAATATTTATTTATTTTAACAATGATTAGTTTATTGTTAATATTTAAGAATAAAAATATATATAAACATAAAATTTGAGCTTTAGTAATTACTTCTGTAAACATTCATGAAACTACAGTTAACTTTGTTGATCTAGCACAGTGTTTTTCAACACATCGACGCATTTGAACCTATAATTAAATTTCTGTAGAAAAATTATGTGATTTAAAGTTTTGTAAACATTCTACTGTCATATTGCTTGCTATTTAACCTAATTATTTTTGTCTATATTTTTTGTGAATTAAAAAAAACAGTATTGTTTTAAGTAAAATTAATAATAAATTTAACATGGCGAACGATTATTTACATGTAATAATAATACAATAAATATAAGTACGACTTTTAAAAAAGAAAAAAATCTTTGCTTCAGTCATTTCTTTTGTTGTTCACACCATCAGCAGTTCATAAAAATCACAAAAACTCACAGAGATGACCATGAATTTTTGTGATTTTTATGAACTGCTGATGGTGCAAACAACGAAAGAAATGACTGAAGCAAAGATTTTTTTCTTTGTTAAAAGTTATTCTTATATTTATTGTATTATTATTAACAGTATTGTTGTTTCTAAACCTGGTCTTATGCACATATATATATGTATCAAAATTATATGATATCTTTTGTTACTACATTATGTATATGTTTATTTGTTATAACAATGAAAACTTGTATAATCAATTTGAAGAGATTTTAATTTTGACATGTACTCTTATTGTTCTTTGGGCTTCTTTTGAAATAATCTATATAGTAACTTTCAAAAAATTTCATAGTACACCTACAATTCTCTCACAGCATACCAGTTGAAAATAACTGATCTAGAATATTCTAAAATTGACTTGTAACATAATTCTTACAAATTTTTATGTTTATGATATCATCTTGCCACTTGCACTGGCTGTTCAGTCTACTTTTGTATTCACGGGAAGAAGTCAGTTACCACTGCATTCTTTTTCTTTTTCTTGTGATTTTTGTATACATTATTAGTGAGCCATTTCATTATTTGTAACTAAGGTGAAAAGTATTGCTTTTACTGTAAGTTTACTTTGCAATTTTTATTGGATTCTGCATGTTTTACCATCATATCTTTGTCAAAAACACAAAGCTTGTGCGATACAAAACTTTAACTTTTTCCAAAAAATAACAGTTACATATGAAGTGGAAAAAGGATTAAAAAATAACTCTGAGATTGCAAAAGTCTTTGGATTTCCATTGAATATACTGTCCACATATCTAAAAAATAAGGACAAAATTTTGAACAGTGTGACTAAACAGAGTGGCAAAGATAAGAAGAGAGTAAGAGGACAGAGAAAACAGATATTGAGGAGTGCATGTTAAAATGGTTTAAACAGGCATGAGACAAAAACATTCCAATAAGTGGACCCCTCCTTAGAGCTAAAATTGAAGAATTTGCTTGAGGGCTAAATAGGGTGGTTTTGAAACCAGCATTGATTGGCTTTATGGTTTAAGGAAAGAAATAACTTTTTTTTTTCAAACTGTTTGTGAGGAAAGTGGAGCTGTTAGGTGATAGGTGGCAAAGTGATTTGGCAGAAATGATTCAAGATAGAGACACCAAAGATGTTTTTAATATTGATGAAACTGGACTGTTTTATAAGTGCACCTCAGACAAAACATTGACTTTCAAGAATGAGTGTTGTAGTGGCAGTAAAGATAGCAAGGAAAGGATAACACTTTTAACCCTGCGTGAGTCGCTAGGAATGGGGCTCTTACTTGAGTCACATGGGTCTTACAGACCCAGTGTTTTTAATATGAAATAATTCAATTTTATCTATCACCTAAAGAAACTACAGTTTCTTAGTTGGATTCTGCGCTTTGTTTTCTATCTAGTGATATAAATTACTTGCGTATTGACAAAATGAATTTATTAATATTTATTTTTATGTAATTCGATACGAAAAACGCAAAAAAATAAACATATCAAATTTCAACTCGCTGTAATTTATCTCCTGTTTCACCGATTGCCATCGGGTTTGTTTGTAAGTGGGGAAGAAATATGACACTTTCAAGCGAAGTGAGTAGAACTTTTGCACTACTGCGAGAAAATTTGTCAACCGACCCCGCGTTACCCCCTACCGCGAAAGTCAATAAACGTTAATTGTTTTATGACTCTATTTTCAACACTTCTTTTCTGAGTTGTAAATCGACTAATTGACAAAGATTTTACTTCATTTTACTCATAAGAATGTTGTCTTTATGATTTAATAGATAGTTTCGTATGATTTTTAGACATAAATTTTATTTTTAATTTTTTATCTGATATAGTCGTGTGTTAGGCTTAACTCGATCACCTATTTTCAAAAATTGACATCGTTCAAAATATTATAGAATCCATCAAAATTATTTGCTTATAGTTTAGTTATAAATGTTTTCTGTGCATGAAAAGAAGCGATCGAAAAAATAATGGGTGGACCATCAAAAATTCGGCAATTTACGACATGCTCTCAATTCTGAAATTTGTTTTCTTCATAATATAAAATTTTTACAAAATAATACTTAAAAAATACATCCATGTCAATACCTGAATGTTATAAAAATGCAATTATCAAAAATTTTGTAATTTTCACAATTTGTATTGTCATAATTTATTTTTGTTTTTTTCTGTCGCGCGTTGCGTATTGCGCGACAACAAAGTCGTAACGCGATTAAACGCAGCGATTTCATTTATAATTACTTAAAATGTAGTTTACGTTCTTGTTTTAGTTTTGTTTTGTTGTTTAGCGATGGAAAATAAATAGATAATAATTGCAGATAACAATTTAAAGTATTTTTATCAGATTAATTTAGATTATTTGATTTTACAATAATGATAGCTATGCGATATGATTGTCGCATAGTTGTAATTTTTCACTTTATATCTAATTAGCTCTCATAATGTTTAGGGGCTAATTAGCTAACATATAGTTCTTTTATTTCGTTTGATCGAGTAAGCATCTTCTCAGAATTGTCTTGTGGGAAATTGACTGCGATAAGAATTAGCCTTTCACTTAAATCAATGTCAGAATGTAAATAAAAGTTAGTTAATCGCCATTTTCATCGTTTTCAGCTCTAATTTCGCTACTTTTCATTTTAATTGACGTTATTTAAACAAATGTTTGTTTTGTCAGGAACATTCAGGAGTAAAATTACCAGAATTACGGCTCTAAAATGAAGAAGATAGCTATTTGTAAGGTTTGCTTACATTCTGACTTTAATCACGTTGATTGGTTCTTCGCGGGAAAATCCAGACCAGATGGTTCTGAAGAAACCTCTCATTCGTTGAACTTAAATCAGTCATAATATAAATTACCAATTAGAGTGTAATAGGCGTAGAAACAAAAATTTTAAAGCCAATTAACAGCAATAACATCTTCCATAGACTTACTATAGAGAGTTGGAGTTTCCCGGGAATATTTATTGCTAGACAGTTTTGAGAACATGCTTACTCGTATATACATTGTGAAACAATATTTAATTAACAATTTATAGCTCAAAACGCGAATAAAACAAGCGAATTTATAGCGATTGTTTACATTTGATTTCCAAGATCATTGCCGAAAGGGGGGAGATATTTCCCGGCAATTTATAGCTAGACTGTTTTCACAAGTTTCCCATTGGTTAGTAAATGTAAAAAAATGCCAACTTGCATCGTCTAATATACGAAGAATCATCATAAGTAATATATAAAAATTATATGATAAAAATAGAATAATAATTAAAATGATTAAAAGTTAATTAGACATTAATTTTGAAAACAATATTATAACAAAAAAAAAACAAAAATATAAATATATAAATAAATAACGATATTATAAAGTATAATAGACACCGCGCGACAACTTCAGCGCGATAAAGTTATTGCGACACTCGCTATCGGCAACGGCGACAAATTAATTGACGTTTTTTTTTACCCCCTCCGTGAGTCGCATGGGTCTGTCAGACCCATGCGACTCACAGAAGGTTAATTGGGACAAAAGTGGATGGGTCTAAAAAAGTTGCTTTGTTAATGATTGCAGCCAACTCATGATGCTTCAAAAATGTTAAAAATAAACCAGTAGAATATCAATTAAATACAAAAGTATGGATGACAAGTGAAATTTTTGAAAGGTGGCTTTTAAAAATTGACAAAAATATTTGGAAAACAAAATCAAAACATCATGTTGTTTATTGACAACTGTAAGTAATATAATACCAATCCTCTGATGGAAAAAAGGGCTGCGGAGTTGGAGTCAGGAGGAATTTCTGGCCAGAGGAGTTGGAGTTGGGAAAAATGTATCAACTCCGACTCCAGCATTTTAAATTTAATTTAGTTTTTTTATTTAAATGAAAGAAAATTTATTTTATATTTATTAACTTTTTAAAATGTTTTTGTATTTTGTTATAATTCATTTATTTTAAATACAAAATGCAACAATTTAATTTATTAAATATGTGTCAATACAGTAGTTTTCTTTGTAGTATTTATGTTTAGTAGTTAAATTATTTTAACCCAATTGAATTTGAATATTTTTGATTCATTCCTTTATTATCCCCGTTCTAAATAAGTACTCTATTTTTTTGAATGATCCAGACTAATTGATCAGAGTATACCTTTTTCTTTTCTGAACAAGGGGCTGAAGTAGCTAATTTTAAATTTTTAGTTGGACTAACTTTTCTGGAAAGGTGAAATTGAAGTGCAAAAGCTGCAGAATAAAGATATGTAGATGTAGAATTTTATCGCTCCCCTTTTTTCCTCTTAGTTAAATATTTGTTAAAAATAAATTTTTTTTATACAAATAATTATTAATGTATGTTAAATATTAAAAATACTAACTATAAAAATATTTGGATAAATACCCTACTTTGAACTCTGAAAGGAGCTCTGCTCCTTTCAGAGTTCAAAGTAGGGTATTTATCCAACTCCCTACGAGTACCTCCTTTGGTAGTAGGGAGTTACCCTACTACCAAAGTAGGGTAACTCCCTACGAGTGCCTCCGCCCCCCATAAAGTGACTTGGTATTTCATTTTGCTGGAGTTGGTCAGCCTACTAAAATTATTAGGAGTTAGAGTTGAGTGTTTTTTTACCGACTCCTCATCCCTGATGGAAAATGTAAAGTTTATGTTTCTTCCCCCAATATGATGTCAGTTCTCCAACTGATGAATACAGAGTAATTAAAAATTAAAGCACCACTATTGATGCCTTGTTCAAACCACTTACACTGACAAAAACAATAAGATCAACCTGCTACATGCTGTTTTAATGCATAACAATTCTTGTGATCAAGTGAAACTCATGACCACAGCCAACTTCTTTCAAAAATTTTGCCATTTAGAAGCTGAAAATATACTGTAAATGATGATGATGAAGAGATTGTACTTGTTGTGGATACCTGGGAAGATGTAGGACAAAGTACAGGCATTTCTTTTGAGTGCCACGTTAACATGGACAGCAATGTGGCAGTTTGTGGAGAACTTAGATACCAAAATTTTGGCTGATGTGCTGAAAATCAAAAATAATAGTCCATCTTCAGATGAAGAAGGGGAACAACTAACAACTAGAAGAGCTTTCTGAGAAACCAGTTCCATCAGCAGTGCAGGTCAAGGAGCACATTCAAGAATTATGATGGTTTGTTGAAGGACAACATGTGATGTCATTTTTAAATCACATAATAAACATGGAGAGTACATTACAACTTAATTGAAAAACTTCAAAAACAGTTGAAAATGTCAAGCTTTTTTAAAAATGTATAAATAGCCTACATTGTAATAATGTAAGAAGTCTTTAATAAATTGTTATTAACTATTTGTTCCAGAAATGATTTTTGAAGTTATTTTTACTACCCATACTAAAACTTATTTAATTTAAAATTTTTGTTGGTCCCTTCATCTTTGAATTAGTGAAGTTTGACTGTGTGTGTGTGGGTGTATACTGTATATATATATAATATAATATAATTCACATTTCTTAAATATTTAAATAATTTAGCTTTTATAATCTGTGTATATTATTGCTATTTCAAATAATTGATTCTTTCAATAAGCAGCAAATTAATAATAATAAATTTGCAGCCTCAATGGATCCACTTGAATTGATGAAACAAATGAATGAAGATGGATTATCTTTAAAACAACATATTTTAGGACATCAGTTAGATCCAATTCAAAATAATCAGGTTTATTATTATTATTATTATTATTGCTATTATTGTAATTCTGACATTTTTAAACATAAATAATATGAATGTTTAAATATCTGTCTATCATAAATAAAAATTATAGGTATCCCTCATACAACGAGGCCCTTGTACAACAAAGTTTTTGGTATAACACAGTTTTGGAAATCCGTCTTAAAAAATTTCACAATTTTTAAGTATAAACTCCATTATTCATTACTTTTTTTTTATTCAATAAGCACACATGTTGTCTCAAATTTGCCCATGTATTTTAGAATATTGAAATTTTCGATTTGTTTTGTGTCTTTCATCAGGTTTACTTTAATGAAAACTGATAGTTCAATTTTTTTTCTCTTCCTTGTCCTAGCTTTCTTATCAACCAGGTGTCATGTTGCTTTAAGAGTAACCTTTAACACTGTTACTGTGTGTTTTTTTTTTTTTTTTATAAATTAATCTTTGTATTTGGTAAAGTTTATTTAAACATTTTTAGGTAAGTGTTGTTAAACTTTTTGTAACTATAGGTATTTATTAATTCATTCATAAAAATGATGAACGAACAGTGGTATATCAGTATTAGAACAGTTCCCAACTTCAACAACTTGGTATTTGAACACAAATTCTGGAAAAACATCACTTGGTACTTGATTAAACACACACACTCTCTAGAACAAATTTTTAGTTAATAACGTATTATTATCAAGTCAGTTACATTTTTTCTTATTTATTTTTGCTTTTAAGTACATAGGGAATAGAAAATTTAATTGTTTTGTTAATATCTTTTAAGAATAATATAACATATTTTATATTCCAGTTTGTATTGTGAAGCTTAAATTTTTCTGCTTTTTTAAGTACATGATCTTTTGAGCAATTTCTGATTTGTTTTAAAAAAAATAAATTATTGCTGTACTTCATACAAAGTACGTTTTCGGCTTTTAGTCCTTTATCAGTGTCTAATTTGGCACATCTATAAATTACACAGTAATTTTAAACTGACATTTTAAAAATTATAAATTTTACATTATCATTTATAAAATTTTTGCAATTTAATGAACAAATGCCCTTATTTTGTACTTTAAAAAATTTATTGTTACAAAGTTTCTCTCATTTAATATTGAATATTTAGATTTAACTTTTTTCTTTTTGAACAATGACAAGAAACTTTTTTTAATCACCAAACTTTAAAGTAATCACAAACCTTCAGCTTCACCAGCAATTCTTTTTTTATGTAAATGAAAGAATTGCTGATAAAACCAAAGGTTTATGACTACATTAAAGTTTGGTGATTAAAAGTTTCTAGTCATTGTCAAGAAAGAGAAAATACAAGAGAATTAATATATAAATCCTGTTAGAAAGATTACTTTATTTTGGAGATGACTAATCTAACATAACTTAACCATCTAGGATATTATTAATAAATCCATTTTTTGAGCTGCTCACTTGCCAAATTTATTAACTCCACAAAACAAAAAGTATAAAAATTGATAATATAAACTATTTTTTTTAATTCCGTTTAAACATTAAATTCAAATAAACATTGCAGAATGTATTTTTATATATCATTATATTAAAGCTATTTTTTAATATAATGATATGTAAAATTTGTTACACAAAAAATTTGAAAATAATAATAATTATATTAAGGATTTACAAATGGAGTTAGTTGATTTGGCCTATTTATAAGTGATGTAGTATGAAAGCAATAATAAATGCATGCATTAATGCACATATAAATATATTTGACTATATTTAATTTTTATATTTTATTTATTAAATTTAGATGATAAATATATTTATTTAAATTTTAATTCTATTTTCAATATGAAATTTAAATATTTATTTTCATAAAACATTTTATATTGTATAATAAAAATTTTTAATTAATATTTTTAGGACTGTTAATTGTTATTTATTTTATTTTACATTATGATATGTAGCAATTTTTAACAAGTGATGAAGAAGATCCTGAAATGGAATTTTTAAAGTCATTGTCTACAAAACAAAAAAAAAAGCTTCTCAGGTTAGCATTTTTTTATTAATTAGTTCAATAATAATTTCAATCAATATCACTTTAATATTTTAATTAGATACTTGTAAATATGAAGTCTCTTATATTATTGCTAATTATTATTGTATATAAATTTACAATCAAATTTAACAGAAGCTATAAATTTACTTGAGATTTAAGGTTAGAATCTTAGATATGAAGTAAATTTTTTTGACTTCTATTAGTTTTCAATACACAGTCATTAAGAATTATGTATGTGTGTACTGAAATAATTTTAATTTTTTATAAGAAATTTTAAATGTGTTTTTATAATCAAATATTAATTTTAGAATTTAGTACTGTAAACCTCAGTGTAAAGACCATACTTTGTACAATTTCCAAGTTAAGATTAACAAAAAAATAAAAGTGACAACTTCTTTGTCACTTAACTTAAATATTATTAAAAAATAATGATATTTATTTATATTAGGAAATTTGTTGCATTATTACTTGTATATATATATTTTTAAATTTGTCATGTTATCAAATTTTACACAATAAAAATAACAGGGCTTATGGAAAAAATAGAATAAGGAACAAAAACCTCAAAATCTAAATAGCCTCTCTTCAATATTAAACTTTTGCTTTGTTTTGTTTACTCTTGAATTCTTGTATAACAAACTAACTGAATAAATATACTATGAATAAACACACCTTTAATAATCCAGCAAATAAAAATTAATAAAATAAAAACGTTTTTGACCGTTTCTTAACAATCATCTTCAGTTAACATATCACAGAATAAAATCGAACACAAAAAAGAACGTAAATACAAAATTAAAAATATAAATAACAGAAAAGTAGCTGCGGTGGATAAAATAAACGAAAAAATAGAAATTAAGCCGAAAAATGTCCCTTAATAAAAGTAAAATAAATAAAATTATTAATTCTTGTAAAAGGATCGCCGTGTGGTAGGTAAAGAGTCCACATCTTTATGGTTGATGCAACCAGTTTTCTTGTGTGCCTTAAAGATCTCCTTAGAGATGCGGACTCTTTACCTATCGCATGGCAATCCTTTTACAAGAATTAATGACTTTATTTATTTTATTTTTTATTAAGAGACATTTTTCGGCTTAATTTCTATTTTTTCGTTTATTTTATCCACCACAGCTACTTTTCCATTATTTATATTTTTAATTTCATATTCATGTTCTTTTTTGTGTTCAATTTTATTCTATGATATGTTAACTGAAGAAGATCATTAAGAAACGGTCAAAAACGTTTTTATTTTATTAATTTTTATTTGCTGGATTATTAAAGGTGTGTTTATTTGTAGTATATTTATCCAGTTAGTTCGTTATATAAGTATACCAATGGCTACACCGGCCAAACTGTATAAGAAACTGACCCTTAAGTTATGTAAGGCAAGGGCTAAGTTTGATTTTCTTTCTCAATGCCATCTCAATAGTGCATTTCCAATGTCTATTTATTGCATATGATTACCGACGGGATGTAATTCACTAATCCTAAAATTGAGACAGCTGTGCCTCAGAAAGGCTATTAGGAATACAAGATGCCAAACGTACACTCTTTTGTACAAGCTGATAAAAATGGAGAACTACCTTTATGAACAGGACCCACAACTCCTAGCGATTGTGAATAAAAGTGTTGTTAAGTTGACACAGAATGTTGAAAGAAATTTAAAACGCAATTACATCAAGAAACTAAGATGGATATTCCGAATGCAGAATATTAAACCAAACATAGGCAGAAACACCCATATCATGGCATGGGATAACATCATATCCCCACAATGCATTTTAGAAGCCTTGGATTACGGTCCTCTTTATGCTCTGACCCTTTTGCCAATACCAGAGACCTACATACCGGATATTGAATTGGTCATTAAAGGCATGAGCGAAATGAGCCATGATTTTGTTTATTGGAAAACCAAATTCTGAACGACGAAAGAAGTAACAAGCAATGTGTGGAACACACAAGTTTTGAAACATGATAAAGAAATCACAACAATGGTTACAACAAAATAACATAGTCCTGATGAAGGCTGACAAATCGAAAGGAGTGGTATTGCTAAAACATTCAGCCTACAACGAGAAATTACAAGCACTGAATGTCAACCAGCAACTGTCCATTTTTTAGAAACCCTACGGCAAAGAGTTAAAAAGTTCACATCCACTCTTTTAGCACGACTCTTACATATGCAAAACTCCATGGTCCATGCACCAAGAGCACCAAGAATATTTGCTTTTGCCAAAACACACAAACCAGGATACCAGATATGCCCTGTAATCGAGAAATGTAACTCTCCAACTTTCTTAATTGAAAAACAACTGGTCAAATTCTTCCAATCTAAAGCTCATCACCATCCACTCTCGATTAACAACTCACTACAACTCATAGAGGATCTCAAAAGCATTTCTCTAATGGACAATGAATATATGACAGTCTTGGACTTTAAGTTGATGTATCCATCGATAAAATTATCTTCTTGCTTCTTCACAATAAGAGATTTTTTATTTGCCAATGTTGAAAATGCGCAACATCATCACAATCAAATACTGGAATGTGCACACCTGGTTTATTATACATCGTTTTTTGAATTTGAGAACAAGTTATATTTGCAAGGAAGAGGCGTACCGATGGGTAGTCCCACATTGGCGATTCTTTGTGAGTTGGTCTTACGGCAACTCAAAAACAAAATTCTACCAAAGTTTCAACATATTATTGTTTTGTACTCCAGATACGTCGACGATATATTCATCTTGTGGCAAAGAAAACCTAACCTACAGCAGTTTTTGGATATGATCAATAATAACCCTTACGGTTTGTTACTACAAGTGGACCAGGAGAGTGAAAGTATTGTAAATTTCTTGGACATTTCCATCATTTGCATACAAGGAGAGATCTGGACCAGCATATACAAAAAACCATGCTTTCAACCCACTTTAATTCCGCATAATTCGATCGATCCACATCACATCAAATTAGTGGCCTTTAGATCCTGGATAAAAAGAGCTTATACGCATTGTACAGGCATAAAGGACAAGATAGTGGAGCTAAAATATATTCTAAGGCTTGCAGAACAACAGGGATACCAAAAAGAAATCATCGAGAAACTTATCACAACCTTCCAAACAACTAAACATTGGCATCTCACGGTAGACTATAGACAAAGGATGGTTTTAAATTATGTCCCGTTTTTGAGACAAATACATAATGAAACGGCCAGGGCTAATAATTTCTAGTGATATATCGACACAATCCTACAGTTTTCAAACTATTAAGAAACAATAAGAAGCGATATGACTGGAAATCTGCATCAGGGATCTATTCTATACCATTACACGATCGGCGTTTTGATTTGCAACGTATCAAAGAGCATACGATTAATAAGAACCTTGACAACACCATGCTATCGGCTTACGCAACATAACAGGACATTCAAGTCCATTGGGATAATGTGGAAATAATTAAACCTACAACAAATTTACACACAATGAAATATCTAGAGAAATTGGAGATCTTTAAGGCACACAAGAAAACTGGTTGCATCAACCATAGAGATGCGGACTCTTTACCTACCGCATGGTGATTCCTTTTACAAGAATTAATGACTTTATTTATTTTATTTTTATTAAGGGACATTTTTTGGCTTAATTTCTATTTTTTCGTTTATTTTATCCACTGCAGCTACTTTTCTGTTATTTATATTTTTAATTTTGTATTTACGTTCTTTTTTTGTGTTCGATTTTATTCTATGATATGTTAACTGAAGAAGATCATTAAGAAATGGTCGAAAACATTTTTATTTTATTAATTTTTATTTGCTGGATTATTGAAGATGTGTTTATTCGTACTACTTGAATTCTTTATTTTATTCACGTTTGAGATCTGTAATTATATAATTTTATTAAGGAAAGTTCCAAATCTTTGGAGAGAACTGTATGAGACAGAGCAACATGTCAGTAAACTGGGGTAAGAGAGAGATGAAGTATATATTTTGTATTCTCTTCTGTGGGTCATTATGTTCAGCTGGGCAGCATTTATCTAGTATTATTTGATATGTGAAGTGTTAGGATTGAGGAACAATCTTATGGAAATTTTTATTAAGTTAATTTAATATTTGAATTTAAAAGTATCTGGAACATAGAATGTGAAACAGAAACATGAGAGAAGAAGATATGAATCAGATGTTCAGTGGAATGAATATTTTGGTTTTGGAATGTCAGTAAAATAGAATGTTTCCAGAAGTTTCTAAATCAAACATTTAGAGAATTGTATTGTCTGGTTTTGAGAAAGAACAGAGAAACTTTTTCTTCTGATTTAAGAAATTTTGGAAATAGATTCCAAGCGGTGTTGAACAGTAGATTGGGTGCAGTAATCCAATGTTCAAATCAAACATGAAATTTACTGTAGTTCACCCATGTGACCTTTTTATTTCCAAAGATAAAAGAAACACTGAAAGGAACACACTTTGATGATATTGATTATATTCAGAGTAAAATGAATAAAATATTCAGAACATGTCTAGAGGCATATTTACAAGAACAGTTCTAAAACTGTTTTGCTATTGATGAGGCACACTAGCATTGGTATATTGTTTCTGTATAATATAAAAATACTAATTATTTTTTTTCTTTATCATAAAATATCAATTATACGATTATTNGATTGTGTAAGTAAGAGTGGAAATTTAAGATTTGTTTTAATTTTTCACATTATTTAGTTTTGTTTTATTTATTGTTTTATATTTTTTGTGTGCTCTATTTCTTGTGTGAGAAGGAAGGGGCCCGGTAAGAAAAAAATGTCTAGGGCCCGAAAGTGGGTTAATCCGGCCCTGCTGACAAATGATGAGTATGGTAATGTATGCGTTGGAACAAAAAGCAGTGATCATTGGTCAGTTTCAGGTAGTGATAGGTAGAATAAATGAAGGACACTATTAAACATGACATAAAAAATACCAAACAAGTTCCAAAACAGAACTACTGTAAAGGGCATTCTGCAGAAAAGTACTCAAAAGCTCTGGAACTGTTGAGTCTGATGAATGCAACCAATGATGTAGCTTGTTCAAGTTGAAACAATGTCATTGGCTTGCTCATCCAGCTGTATTAAAGCTGCTTTATTAGAAAATGTGACCTTTGTTGTAACTATCTCTCAAAATTTAGGTATACATTATTCACTTTGCTCTTTACTACCTCTATGGTAAACTTTTAAAATTTAGTTAAAAATTATTTCAAAGTATTTGCCAATATATAAATGAATATGGAAATTTTCTTAAAGATCTTTCCCATAATTTCAATTCTGTCAGATTAAAATCAAATCGTTAATTAACTACACACATCTAAAAGAAATCTGATGAAAATATTTACAGTTACACAAAATATATTAAGTTTTAATTTTAAACAAAGATGGTTTTTCATTTAGCATACAAATGGGAAAATCCTTGTTATCAATAACCAAGCTAAGCTATATACAGACTTTAAGCTTCATAAGTGTTAATTATATTAGTGTATTTGGAGAAAATATTGCTGTAAAAATCAGCAATATTTTTGGAGGAAAAATCTTAATTCTCTAATTTAAATCAGATTATTTCACATTAAAGAAACTTTTGATTCTAATGTCCATTGCAATAGCTAATAAAACTTCACTATTTTCTCTATGATTAAAATAGTATCTGATCAACTTTATTTAGAATATATAATTCACATAAACTTAAAATATTTGTTTTATTAGTTAAATATGTGTGTATTTACTCAGAACTAACTAACTTTCCTTTCTTGAACATAATTGTCCATATGCAATGTCAATTTTGGATATACAATTGAAAATATTTCTATTAATTTATAACATTTTTGTAGTATATATTTTTCTTTTTGCATGCACACAGAAAGCTTAGAATTAATAATTAGATGTTAGATTATCTTAATTTGAATTCTTCATTTACAGATATTATTTGTATAGTATTAAAAGTTTAAAATTTTTTTAAATGGCAGTGAAAATGTTACTGTGCTTGGATCTATCTTTGTTTGAAAATTGTGAATTGTAACACAATAATTTGTTTGAAATCATTTTATCTATTTACTTCAAGATGTCCAAGATTTATCTATTTACTTCAATATTTGACTACAGTACAGTTCTGTTTATCTTTCTGTCTTGTAAATGTTATGTATATTAATGTTAATTATTGCAAGTTTTATGTCATTTTTTCAATAATTCAAAAAAGTTTTTAAATAAGTATTGTTTAATTTATACTTGGAATTACAGTTCACATTTTATGCTATATCTTTTAATTAATATAGGAAGCTTTCATTTTTAACTAAAGTAATAAATATAATGAATTATATTATATAGGATTAATCATATTTTATTACACAATTTTTTTATTATTTTACAAAAAGAATATTTATAGGATTGCATCATAACATATATTTGGGTAACATAAATATTCTATTGGTGTAAGTATTTAATGGCATCATAAAGAAAAATTATATCAGATATGTATTTTAGTAAATGGCACTTTCACAGTTTTATTTTTAGCTTCATGTCAATGTAAGAAAATTAATTATCATATCTTTAATCATTGCTAACCTGAAGAAATTAAAGAATGGCCATTAAGAACGATCATCATAAATAATATAGTAATAGTGGAAACTATTGTGATAACTAAGGAATGCCAGTAAAAATACTTGTTGCTGTTACTGTTTTCATTGTTAATCTTTATTATAGGATGATAAAATAAAAAATTTATTTACAAGGAGTAGACTTGGCAATGCCAACTAGTCGTCTTGTTGCAAATAAAATTTTTAATGACTAGACATGCTAAGAATAAGAGATAATGTTTAGGAATTCTTTTAAGTACCAATGTTATCTCTTGATTCTGTAGTAAGTAAAAGTTTAAGTATTTTTTGTTACATGTAACAAAGGAAAAAGCAAGTATAAATGGCTCACATCATTGTCAAGGTTGCTACTCATAAGTAAACCTTTTTGATAATCTGGTTTAAAATATATTTAACAATTTCCTGAAAAAAAAATGTATATATATATATAGATATATATATCAAATTTTTGAAATATGACTTTACTGAATTAACTAACATTCTAATTGTATTTCTTTTTATATTAGTATTATATTAAATGATATTTAAGAAAAAATTTTAATTATTTACAGAAAAGAAGGCTAAGAAACTAAAGAATAAGCATAAAAAGTCTATAAGTAGCAATAGTAGTAGTAGCAGTAATAGTAGCAGTACTTGTGATACTTGTGATAGCAGTAGTTCTTTGGATTCAGAATCAAATTCAGATAGTGATGTCTCTCCTAAGCAAAGCAAAACAAAATCATCCAGAAAAAATAAGGAAAAATGTAACAGTGACTCAGAAAATTCAGATATAAAAATATCTAATAGATATAATGAACGAAACTGTACTTATGAAGATGATATTAAATATAAAACTAATGGACTAGATTATGAAGAAGAAAGAACTATGGAATCATCTAAACACAAAAGCAACAATTTAAGTTACGAGGAAGAACAAAGAAATAGAGAAACTTCAAGACATAGAAATATAGATCAAAATTATGATGAAGGAAGAAGAAGAAAAGAGTTCAGATATAGAAATAATGATGCAAGTTATGAAGAAGAAAGAAGTTTAGAAATGCCAGGACGAAGGAGTTCCCGTGAAGAGAATTGGAGAGAAAGCCGGAGGGAAGACTCTCACTATGAGAGTCGTCATTCACGGTCACCCACTTACAGAGAGCGATCGTCAGAGAAAAGATTTTATAGGGATGATGATAATAACATGAGAGACTATTACAAAAGGTCTGAAAATTATAGAAGAAATTATCATGAAGAAAGAGACCATAGACATTATAAAAATGATAACAGAAGACCAGAATTTTCAAGATACAATGAAAGATATTGATGGTTTGGGTAATATGTCTGAACACAAAAAATGTACAGCATAATCACACACAAAATATCATCATGTGTTTATTGTTTTTATTTTCTATAATTTCTATGTTTTAGGATTGTAATAACAAAAATATTTTTTTTATTTATCAAATTTTTCAAAAAAAAATGTATTATTACATTTTAGATACTTCATGGAAAGTATTGTGACAGTTAAAGAATGAAAGTAAAAGTAAAACTATTACTATATTTTTTTTATTGATTGATTTATTAATGCGGGTTAAAAGTATTCATTTTATTTACTATAAATTGGGGAATAACAAAAAAAATTTCTACACACAATCAGCATCTCATATAATTCCCACTATAAAAAAATTAATTAATTCTATAATTTCAAAAACATTTTATACCAAGAAAGATTATTTTTACTTGGAGTATCCTAATGTTGATACAGAGCATAATAGTTGATTCATATCAACCATTGCAGCATGAATAATTCTAAATAATGTATATGTATAACAATACATATTATAACATTATTTAGTATTATTTATTATTTCATTAATGCCATTTATTACTGAAAATGTCTGTAATCGTCACTTTTGATTCTAACATCAATATCAAATCACTTCAATTGTCCTGCAGAATACTTCAATTTATTATAGATACTACACCAGGGGTGGCCAACAGTTTTTGCCTCTGGGCCGAATTGGAAAGAAAACTTTTTTCACGGGCCAAACCAGAGTCTGCTGTAGGAAGATTTTGAGGTGGTGCGAGATCTTATTGTGGTGTCATCCCATAGAGACTAAATTGTACATAGAGATTACAGGCATTTTTCACATTATCGTGCTTTATCAACATTTTACGCTGTACTCAAGAGATTTGTAATGGAAGGTTAACTCTAAATGTACAGTGAGTTGCTGACTTTTTTTTTTTTTCTTTTTAGGCATCAGAATTTTTCATCAAGCTATTCCTACTTGAGTAGCTAATATTGAAAGATTAAACATGGGCCACATAAATTCATTAGACGGGCCAGATCCGGCCCACGGGCAGTATGTTGACCACCCCTGTACTACACCGTAGCAAAAAGCACTTTTACATTAAACCCATTTTGAATAAATTTGCTTTACTCTAAAACTGTTTTCACTACAAAAATTATACTAAGTAACATCATTGTTGTTTATTGTAACTATTATCAGTTGCTGTTTATATTTATATTCAAAAGAAAATCAAAGAAAATCCTAATAATACAACAACAGTAGTAAATGTATACCTGCTTACAAACTCAGGTCAGTGCAGTCAATCTGTAGTAAAAAAAAAATTGGTACTTTTCAAGTCACACTAATGGTATCATCATAAGATCATTTTTAATTGGCTATCTGTTTATTCCCATATAATTTGCAATACTGCTTCAACAGAAATATATAAAAAAATTACTTAATTCTTTTTTCACATTAAAGCACATGTTTTATTATTTTAATGTGTTAGAATATTGTTTCATTATCACATAGACCAAAAATATTAATTTTTTTTTATCAAACTTGAAAAAGATGAAAAATTTACTGGTGTTCAATTTAGTAATTGAAATATGAAACAGTTTTAAGATATTTTATTTTAAAATAGATTAAAATAGTTTTTGCATGTTAATATACAAAATTAGTTTAATACCTTATGGGGATAGTTTCTAAACAAGGGTTATTGCAAATTTTATCGTAATGATGATACTCTTTACATTTTACAGTATTAAAGACCTGTTTTTAATAATAATGTAAGTTACAACTTAACTTTATCTATCCTCAATCTATTTGTCTATTATCAATAAACATTTTTAATAATACACATCCAAATAGGGATGAATCCAAATAGGGATGATTAAAGATAAATTTTGAGTCGATTTATTTAATCATAAAAATGCACTAGATGAATACAAATACAAAAATAAAGATACAAAGTATATTACAAATTATTTTTCATAAATTTGAGTTAATTAAAATCAAATAGTATAATCATTCAATCACTAAACTAAATGGTTCCTTGATATCTTTCAAATTCTATATATGTTTTTGGTACACTTCAAACTGCCAATTTTTGTTTATCTAATTATACTGATGACAATTTTGTCAAATTACGATCATTATATTGCTTGAAAAAAAATGAATGATGTGAACAATTCAAATTAGTCAATTGAAAATTATAAATGTGTAAATTGAACAGCTGCTTGACTATTCCCAGCATTTGTAAGCTTTAGACTTTGCTTTACAACAGTTCTCTCGATTTAATATTTTAAATCGGATAACTCAAAATGATGTTAATTGCTAGTTTGAGGATAGTGTTATGTTCTTTCAATAATTTCATGCCAAACCAATTAATTCTGTTTCTCAAAATATGAATTAGAGATGATACGATACCGAATTATGCGGATACGATCCGATACCAAAATCGCTTTTATCCATATTCTACAGGCGATGTCAACAACAAATTCTAGCACCGAGTCGCATAACTTTCCCGGTAAAAAAGTTAAAATTATATGTGGCGCCATCTTTTAAGAGATTTTATTTTTAAAGATTTTATATTAATTATTATAAAATGATAAAAAGCTTGAGTTATAGAATTTTGAGGTTAAAGATAAATTTTATTTTTAATTTGATGGCTAAACAAATGAACATTTTGTCGAATACAAATTTACATGAAATTCTCTGATCAAAAACATTTCAATTGAAAGAAAATGTGTAAAATGAGAAATAAAATTCTTTTGAAAACGCGATGTAAAATGTACACATTAAGCACAAATACAGTCGATCTTCCTATAAGACGGTAGATACGTTCCGTTTTTTATGAATCAATATTGTAGGAATCATTGCCAATCACAGTCCGACACGTGTCAAGTTTACAGACTACAACTGTTTGAAAAATTTTCTTCCATAAAATTAATCGATTCTAGACTAATTCGCTTCCACATTTTCAAAATACGTATATTTTTTGGAAATAATCCGTATTAACAAAAAATTGTAGGATTACTTACCGAGTTCGACTACTCCATTCATCAAGCTTATTTTCGTCACGGAACAGCGCGGCAAACGGCAGCCGCGATTTCTGATTGTTATTTTTCTGCGAAAACTTCGATGAACTTTGGAGACATCATTAATATAAATAATATTTATGGCCGTTGAATAAGAAATGTATAAAATTACAGTACTGTATTAGACTTACAGTACCTAATTTACATACTGTATAGACAATAGTTCGCCTAAACTCTTCGTAGCGTGGCGCTAGACGGCGGAAAGTATATATATATAATTATAATTTATATATAATTTATATATAATTATATGTACAGACAATACTAAACTCAATTTATTTGCCTAAACTTTTTGTAGCGTGGCGCTGGACAACGGAAAGTAGTTCGGCTGCCCGATGACGTTTTACGTAATTATAGGAGTTATTTTACTGTTGTTTACGGATACCGCCACAATTTTTTCGCCGTCTTACAGGAATCGTAATTATAGGAACCAGTCTTATAGGGGGATCTACTGTATTTTATTCAGAATCGAGCTCGAATGAACATTGTTGATTGTCGGCAGTTTATTCGAAGTGTACTCCGGAGACAGAACTGCTTTTAAGCATATACTGTATCCTTTTCGTTGCTCGTTAAAAAAATAAATGATAGCGAGTATTGTAAGTAAAAACGAAATATTTTATGGGATATCAAATTTTTGTTTTTTTGTTCAAAAAATCGGGAGATTGTAAGGTTTCATTAAAAATTATGAAATCTCACGATTTAGCGTGACATCTGCAACATTAAAAAAAACCTGAAAAGAAATAAAACAAAATGTCATCTTTGCGAAAACGCGAAATGTTTTGTTAAATATATAAAGCCGATTTGGATGTCTCGGTGCATCGCAGTCATTTAAAGAAGCATTTAAAATATAAAGAAATTAATTAATGCATATATATATTAATATATATCTTTAATCTCAAAAGACACTGTGGCCATTTGGCCTTTTTCGAATGTCACGAATATACAAAAACATTAACAATAGAGGAATAAAAAGCATCTAAAAATCAGCAAACAAATAAAAATGAAAAAAGAATACAAATGCAACAATAACTGAGAAAAAATTTTCACCGCACTTACGCAGAAAAGCATGCTGTAGTCAAAATTCGTTGTAGTGAAAATCCCTTCGGAAAATTTACTTCCCCCTCTTCCTACGTTTTTCCTCTTTTTTGGTGTATGTCGATTATCGTTAAATTTTTTTCGTTCTTTAAATTTTAAGTAGGCAGGAGAAAAGTCTTTGATCTGCAGAATTGTTAAATTTTTCAGTTAAAACGTTTTGACTTTAAAGATCTGGCTGAGAGGTTTTTTCTTATGTTTAAGTTGAATTTCTTCCTGTTAGTTATTTCTTGAAAATCTTTATATAACGACTTCAAGTATATTATCACTTGAAAGACTGGGGCTTATATATATCAATGGTTTAGAGCAGGAGGGCGAACCTATAACACGCGTACCCAAAGTGGCACGCAAGCAGAAATCATCTAGCACGTAATATATCATATAATTTCGATTTACCATATGTCTTTTTCCATCATCCTCTTGCTTTATCGCTCATTCGTCTTTTTCAATTTGGTTTTTTACATTTATTTTATTTAAAACATGTTCGTTTAATTTGTTTAAATATCCTTGCGCAAAGTCTAAAACTTTAAAGCTAAACAAATAATACAAATTTAATAAAAGTAATATGTTTAAACTTTTCTATCAACAAAAAATACCATTGCAAGCTTGGCATCAGTACGATTACAATAATAACGAGCAATTATTTACTGTGACGCGGTCACAACGCCCGGCTGCAGTTTTTAATCGTAATTTTAATTTGTTTAATTTAAACTATATGCTCTCCACCTCAAATTAGTAGTGGCTTGTCCCGTACATCATACTTTTTCGTTAGCAATGGAGTGGCGCCGGTCATCTATCTAACACCTATCGATAAAAAATTTTTGAATTAAAATATAACGTAACTTTCGATTTGCATCGGAAGTTCTTATATAGTTAGTCGGGACCTCTTGCACCTAAGGTTTCCATGTTTAGTCTCGGCGCTTTTGTCTATCTAACACCGTTCTCGGGATTAACGCATTGTTTTTCAACGAATGCCGACACTGGACGTATAGCCATACTCGGAAGAAAATCCAAGGTCATTGGCCTAAATGTACATATATTCGGTAAAAACATTCGCATAAAATCAAATTTTTGTATTAAAAATATGAAAACAAAGAATTCAAATATGAAAGTATGTGTACTTTTGTTTGGTATATTATTTATCTGCTTATATTCTGTTTTATTTTCTTAAAAAAATTCGTGTTGTTTTGTTTACGTTAATTAATGATCTGTAAATTAATTGCAATTTAATCTAATGTAATTAAATTTTATGTTTAGTTAATTATTAATTGATTGTATACTATTAATTCTATGTTATATTAACGTATTAGTTCATTACTATTATCGTAAATAATGTTAATTTTGATTCTAGTAAATTCTTCAACGGTTCTTTGTTTAGCCAACAATCGAATCGACAGGGCTGCCATTTTACGTACATTTTTACATGTACGTAAATTCTACATGTAGCTATGATGTTTCATAGACATTCAGTTTGTTATAATATATAATTTGTTTCTTTAATTAATTGGTAGATATTCATACTATATAAATTGCAGAAATTGAGCAATATTACCACTTCTTTTTTAAAATTTTACTTATATTAAAATCATTAATATATTTTAATGGTAATTATGCAGTCTAAGGGACTATTAAT